CTCTCGGTCTGTCCGTCTGTCGCTAAATATCCTCCAACATCTATTAAAATGTTAAAGCAGTTTTTGCATCTTTGTAGGATAATTGTATTCATTAACCATCTGTGTGCTGAGTGCAAGGTGTTTGGGATTTGCACTATGACTCCAGGCGTGGAAACAATTTGAACAGGTTTCGTATAAGGATCCATTCACCAGCTGGTTGCCTCCGAGCTAGTTAACTGCTTTCTACAAATATATTTTTAGTAGTTCATTGAGATGGCACGGCAGGAAAATAATACAAATAAGCAGAGTATATCAGAGACCCCCCTTTTTTTTTTTTTTTTGGTAAAATGGACCGACCACGCTGGTAGCAGAATGTATCTCAATACGAGATCATGAGTGTCACTGAATTAACCCCAAAATGGGGATTAATACCAATCAATCAGAGGAAATGGACAAGAATTATAGGATTTCAACTCATTTCGTGTGTCTTCAAGTCAAACACTCTATAACAGGCGTTACCTGCACTTATGTTGGGGGTATTAGGAAATCTTAACCTTTTGAGTGCCAGAACACAGATTAAAAATGCAATTTTTTTTATAACCTCTTGGGTACTGGAAGGTTTGAATTAAATATTTGGATTTTGAAACCTTCACAAGTTATTTAACACAAATTTTTAAATCCTCCACAGTGATAGACTATAGATATGGCATCCCATTTCGTACAAACTAATACAATGTATATATGAATATAAATAGAAAAACAAGCAATGGCAATGGAACTATGGGGGGAAAAAAACTGTTTCTGGCTAAATAATAACTGGAGGTTAGGGAAGAATTTAATTAGAAAGAATATGAATTGGAGATTGCTGAGTGTTAGCTCGGTATCCAGTACGTTCTCTACCGATTGTTGTGCTAATATTTAAAGATTGCCCTCTGTGGAGATATTAAATCACTATTAAATATCTTAATCTGCTACTTTTGCAAAATAGGGAGATTAACCCAGCATTCTCGATGGGATCACTGTGCCCAAAGATTCAATGCGAGCTGGTTCTGTCATATACATTGTCACTAGTCTTACTGCCAACATTCCAATTTATAGCAATCTTGTTCGATTCTTCTCCCCGATTCTTTCGTACAGACGAAATGGTCAAAGAATTTTTTAACTCAAACGTCTACCATAAAACACGGAATTGTTGAAAAAAATAATAATAAAAAAATTCATATATATAATTTGTAAAAAAATGAGTATTGTTTAAACTTTATATATCAAATAACAAAAAAATACCTAGTTAAAATATATGTCTGATTACTTAAACAATTATTAAAATATTACCGGCTCGTTCCTGCTTACTGGAAATGAGACAATAACCCGTGTTTGTAACCCTCCTAGTTTCCAGTCCACTGCCTGTGTTATATAGGTGTGGATAAAGGTATTCCATAATTCATTTTGGAAGCATTAGCAAAACACACGCGAAGTATTTGTATTTTGCATTTGAATGAAAATGGTTATATTAGTTTTCATTGAAAATCTAAGAGTGAATGTATAGTTATAAAAGCCTACCCTGGGCACTTAAGATACAGGGTCCCTTTAAATACACAGCACAGAGCACAGATTGGTACCTCTAATGCTGGATAAAATGCAGTCATACCACACATTTCATATTTTATTGCTACAACCTCGCAAATGTGTGCTTCAGGAGAAATACTAATACATTTAAATTACACTGACTACATATATAACAATGTATTGTTATTTTTAATAGACTATGTGGGTAGTTTAATCTATATCTGTTATTAATTTAAACTTATGCAAAAAAAAAGAGGTATAATAGATTTTTTTTTGTTCTATCATTTTCCTGCCAATGTAGCAACTGAAGACGTTCCTCTCTCTCACCATCAAGCCAGTGGTTTGTTTACTGGGTTATTTGAATTAAAATAAAGCCTATTTCTACTGGCTGAACATCATTATCTCTGAGTCTATAATCCTACTAGCAAATCCCATATCTTCCAGGACTGGCTCCTTTGTTTGGGATTTACTGCAAGTTTATCCTATAACAAAGAGGTATGAGGCATCCCCTCTTATCCTCATAATTAAGTGTGGGGACTAATTTAGAATCAAGCACAGGAGCTGAACAATTCGGAGTAATATTTTTATACAAACTGGGAGGCAGGATGGGCCCATACTAATTGTTAACACAACATTTAAATTACTAAAACACTTTGGAGACCAGCTTTAATGTTAAGAGCAATTCTTAACAAGGCTCTAATATGCCACCAATAACAATAGCTCTCTATTACTAATCTATAGATATGGGATAAGCTACTTATTATATTTATATTGTTTCATTTTTGTTTGTTATTTTAACCAAACCTACCAACCGTATAATAATAATAATAATGATTGTTTAATTAAATATAATATACCAATGTTGTTAACTAGTATGGGCTATTACATAACCCGTTCATTGCCAGCTAGTGATAACACCCACAGGGTTAAAATAAACATTGGTGTTGTTCCAAGGCAGGTTCGGTGTCAAACAGCCCTTTTCATGAAGGGGTTAAGTTTCACAGCAATCCTTCGAAAAGTCAATGACTCCAGCAGTACTGAGGTACATGGGGCATTTTTTATTATACTGCCCAGCCTGTGTTAACCCCTGACAGATATTCCAGGCATGTCAATATAGTAAGGGATTTCTATGCTGTGCTCCTTAAAGGGTTAAAGTAAACATCTCCAATACTCTGCTCTCAGGAATGAAACCTCCCTTAGTATTTACTTTCATGTTGTAGAATTTCACAAGTAGGTCAGGAACATAAAGATGTTTAATGGTTGTATTTGTCCATATAAGCACAGACCGTTTGTGCATGCCAGTGGTGTCTGTTCCCAGCCATGGTGACAGAGCATAGGAATTCATGTGTCCTGTATGTGAAGTAGATCTTGGAGACATTAAGGAGATGTGACAGTCTGGAACATCTGCCAGCCTTCTGTTTGAGTCAAAACTAGATGTCATGTAGTGCACAGCTGCTGGCTTTATCTATTTCTCTTTTGCCAACATCTGTCACCACAACACAATGATACTGACATTTGTCATCACCTTGCAGAGCGATCCTCCCATTGCTCCTTCTATGAGTAAATCTCAAGGAGTTTTACTTCTGATTGGGAAAAAAAAAAACATGGATGCAAAGTACCTGCAATTTTCATTATGTTATAATATCAGAACATTGCTTGCTACATTTACCACCTGACTAATGGCCAGCAAAAAATAAATAAAAATAAATCCATAAAAATATGTATCATTCACTAAATACTACACTGCAATTAACTAAAAAATCCTAATTTTGAATTACCATTTTCAGTTAACTATAATTATGTGTTTAGTGAATAAGCCCTATCGATTGTAAACCTTTTGTTTATATGTTGCCCCCAGCATACCGGACACACACTATTTTACTACTGGTTTATTCACTAAATACTAAATTGTAGTTCATTGAAATAAGAATTGTACAATGAAGACGACCTGGGTTCTTGCAAATTCCAAACTGTAGCAAATTTAAATCAGAATGGCAAAATGCAGGCCAAAATATCTGATCTGAAAACAATCTCTAACTCACCTATGGCCGCAGAGTCCATATTTTTGCCTAAATTTTGACTTTTGGATTTCAGTTTGCTAGAATTCAGAGTTTATTGCAGGCATACCCAACATCTGGATGGTACCAAACTCTGACCATCCAGATGTTGTTGACCTACAACTCCCATGATTCCATGAATGACATAGGCTGAGAATCATGGGAGTTGTAGTTCAGCAACATCTGGAGGGCCGGAGTTTGGGGAAGCTTGGTTTATTGAATACAGTGTTTTATATAGCTAATTTGGTTTATCATAGACTCAATACTGCTATTCACATTCCAATTCACTATACTTAAAGGGACACTCCAGGCACCCAGACCACTTCTGCCCATTGGAGTGGTCTGGGTGACAACTCCCACTACCCTTAACCCTACAAGTGTAATTATTGCAGTTTTCATAAACTGCAATATTTACCTTGCAGGGTTAAGTCCTCCTCTAGAGGTTGTCTACTAGACAGCCACTAGAGGATACTCCCATGTTCATAGAACACGAAAAGTGTGTTATACGACTCTGGACATCCTCACGCTATGTGAGGACCTCCAGCGTCGCCAAAATCCCCATAGGAAAGCATTGAAAGCATTATTCAATGCTTTCCTATGGGGAGGTCTAATGCACGTGCATTAAGCATTAGGAGCGTAGACGGAGCCTAACCCAGCGCCGAGGGACATCGGCGCTGGACTCCAGTAAGTCACTGAAGGGGTTTTAACCCCTTCAGCAACTTGGGATGGGGGGTGGGAGGGAGAGGGGCACTAGAGGGTCCTGAGAGTTCCTTTAAGTATTTTTGCAAAACAGCATGCATTTTCCTTAAAGGACCACTATAGGCACCCAGACCACTTCAGTTCAATGAAGTGGTCTGGGTGCCAGGTCCCCCTAGTTTTAACCTTGAAGCGGAAAACATAGCAGTTTCAGAGAAACTGCTATGTTTACATTGCAGGGTTAATCCAGCCTCTAGTGGCTGTCTCCCTGACAGCCACTCGAGGCTGCTTCCGCGATTTACACAAAGTAAATCACACTTATTTGACGCTGGACGTCATCACGGTTTCCAGTGTCAAAAAAGATCCCCATAGGAAAGCATTGAGTAATACTTTCCTATGGGTGGGTTTGAATGCGCGTGCGCCTCTGGCCGCACATGCTCATACGGCTCCACTTGGAAGCTGATGTTGATGGAGGAGGAGAGGTCCCCAGTGCCGAGGAAGCCCTGTGCTGGATTAAGGTAAGAAAATAAATGGTTAGTTAACCATTTATTCGCCGCGGAATGGGGTGTCTGTGCTGGAGCTAACTGCGCATGTATTTCAGGTTCTCTATGCTTCTCAATGAGCGGTACTCTACAGCTCACTGAGAATGCTTTGTGGAGCCAATGGGCAGTGGATTAAAAGCTTTCTGGCTGGATGTTTCTTCCTGCATTTATGATAGTGCTGTTTTCTATTGAAATCTGCCCTTTTATAAACTGTCACAACTATGTTAGACTCCAGACACATAAAGCACTTCAGTGTTCCTTTACTTAAAAGGTGAGGTGACAGTCAACTTGCAAAACTCTGGTTTCAATGAAATGCAACTCACAGTAAATAAATACATGTGGTTCTACAATATATTACTTTGCCAGAATCAAGCAGCTAGCCTATGATACTAGCAGAGTTAGCATCCACAAACCTACCCTAAATATAGTGTGTCTAGCACAAAAATGACATGGTGGTTATATTTAGATAGTACAATTTCATATATACATTATGTTGGTTAAACTAGTCTAATTTTGATTCCTAAATGAGTCTTTTCCTCTGTGCCATTGGCATAGAAATAAACACTCAGATATGGCTTCCACCAGATGTGCATGCCTAATTCCTGTCCACCTGCAAACTCCATCTAGGAAGGGGGGTGGGGGGGGAGGGGGTGGGGGGTTAACAGGTAAGCTAATATATATTTTGATCTAATCATTAGGCACAGATTTCACCAGCACCCACACAGACCTAATGTACACCTACCTCATGGTGACTTGTTAATCATGTCTTTACAGGCCTGTGTTTTCTTAAGCCCAATAAAAATGAAAACAAAAAACAAAATCCTGATTGATGACAGTCCTCCTTTAACGGTATCATGGCTTAAGAACTTTAGGAGCGAGATAGCATGACATTCATATAATTATCCCTGAAGGGATAAACTGTATGCTTGAGCTTGGGGTATGGCTTTTAAACATCTTTCCTGTAATATTGTATATTCAATAACAAAATAGTTTATTATCTTAACTAAGAATTGTGGATAATGGCAAAGGAAATTTAAATTTTAGGCAAAGCAGCTAATTTGGAAACATTTGTCCTGGCTATTTTTTAGTTTGGTTATTTCATCTTAAAATGTGCTATTAGGTGAGATAAGTTTATCTCTTGTAATTGAATAGCATTTTTCCTTACAACCCAAGGCAATACTGCTATTCAAGAACTTTATCTCTTCTAAAAGAATCCAGCAGTGAGAGAATAAACCCCAGCAAGCTTTAGCTAAATGAAAATTAATTTATAAAAGATAAGAAAAAAAGGTTGATTTGGGACAAGCATACCAATATTTAGTGTTCATGCAGGTGCTATAAAGATACTTGTAATGTTAGATCAGATGAATGGATGGATGAAGGAAGATTTTTCTTCAATTTGTACTGAATCCACACATCTCCCTTTTTTTAAAGGTTGCTCATAACTCCATGTGAAGCAACCACAATTTGGAATCGGTGTCCCAAGTGTGACAAATTAAATGGACACTCCACATCCAAAAAAGACAGAAAAAGTCACTGTTTCTAGATATATCCTGAATGACAACTTGCACCTACAGATGTTGTACAAGCTCCTTGATTACATCTTCAATCTCCGGATAGAGCCAGTTAACTTTATATAAGGACATGCTGGCTACAATGGCAGAGCTGGCAATGTGGGAAGTTGGAGCAATTCCATCCCAGGTCATCTGCATACAGGGTCTGTGTACTGCTTCAAGAAACATAGAAACCTAGAATGTGACGGCAGATAAGAACCATTGGGCCCATCTAGTCTGCCCAATTTTCTAAATACTTTCATTAGTCCCTGGCCTTATCTTATAGTTAGGAAAGCTTTATGTCTATCCCACACATGCTTAAACTCCTTTACTGTGTTTCATTTGCTGATTAAAAGCAACTGGAGGTGCAACGGGCTGCCTGTTTACAGAGTACTGTAAAAATGAGGCAGCTGGCAGAACTGAGCAAAGCATTTTCTAGACCAACTATGTGGGTTTGTGCTTGGTACAGTGGCTCATACTTGCAGTGCACTCCAGTGCTGCACTGGCTAACTGGCATGATTCCTGGCAATATCTGAGGCTGATCTGCCAGACTACGATAATTATGCATAATGTGGAGGTGTTTGTAAGTGGCTTCGGAATGAGGTGAGAGGTGGTGTTAAAAGAGTTGTGTAAAAGAGTCCATCACAAAGGCATGAGTAGATTTTTGTGAATACTTATTCATGTTGAGCAGGTCATACCAATGGAGGTTGCAAGTATGTGATGTCCTACCGGGCCACTCCAGAATCCTCCATGTATCAAGCTCATATATCATTTGCTCTCTGTGAGTTGGATCATTCACACAGAGTTCTGTGAAATTTGTGCACAAATCAAGGCCATTAGTTTGTATATGCCCCCCAGGCCAAATAATGTCAGCCATCCCCTGCAGTTAATTCTGACTATTTACCAAGCTATTCAAACATGTGACTTAACAGTCCCATTTGTTTACAAAGGTATTGGAACACACCTGACCATAATTGTCTCTTTCAGTAAGATGAGCTAATTAGGGAAGTAATAAACTCCACACACCTGAAGACTTTTTGGGTTATTCACTAAAGTGTGAAATGTTGGGAAGTCAAAGTAATTTTCACAGTTTAGATCACAATAGCCTAATTACACCAAGAGGGGATTTTACAATATTGCATTCTAAATACATAGACATTAATATGCCGTTTTAACAGCTTCCAGTGTTCTGGGAAGGCTTTTCACATGATTTTGCAGTGTTTCTGTGGGAATTGTTTGTCTTTACATCCAGTATGACATTTGTGAGGTCAGGCACTAATGTTGGACGTGAAGATCTAGCTCACAATCTCTGTTCCAGTTTATCCCGAAGTTATTCGATGGGGTTGAGGTCATTGCTCCGTGTGGGCCAGTCATGTTCTTCCACATCAGACTTATCCAACCATGTATTTATGGACCTTGCTTTGTGCACAAAGTTGAAAGTATAGCTGTGTCCAAAATGTTTTGCATGCTGAAGCATTAAGATTTCCCTTCAATGAAGGTAAGGAGCCTAGCCCAACACCTGAAAAACAGCCCCATGCTATTATCCCTCCTCCACTAAACATTACAGTTGACACAATGCAGTAAGGCAGGTCACGTTCTACTGGCATCTGCCAAACCCAGACTCACCCATTAGACTGCCAAACAGAAAAGCGTGACTTGTCACTCCCCCGAACACATTTCCACTGCTCCAGAGTCCAGTGGCGGCGTACCTTACACCACCCGATGCGATGCTTGGCATTGTACTTTGTGATGTGAGGCTTACATGCAGCTGCTCGATCATAAAAAAACCCATTCCATGAAGCTCCCACCACACAATTTTTGTGCTGATATTAATGCCAGTGGAAGTTTGGACCACTTCAGCTATGAAATCAGCAGAGCTTTGGTGACTCTTATTCACCATCCGCCTCAACACTTGGCGACCCAGTTCTATTATTATTATTGGTATTAATATAGCGCCAACTAATTCCGCAGCGCTTGCTCTATGACTTTCGCTTCTTGGCTGAGTTGCTGCTGTTCCTAAAAGCTTCCACTTTCCAATAATACCACCAGCAGGTGACCGTGGAATATCTAGCAGGGATGAAATTTCATGCACTGACTTATTGCAAAGATGACATCCTATCTCAGTACCACACATTAATTCACTGAGCTCTTCAGAATGACCCAAATTTTTTTTTTTTTTTTTTTACAAATGTTCATAAATGCAGATTTCATTGACTTTATACACCTGTGACAATGGGTCTCATTGAAACACCTGAATTCAATAAGTGAATACATCTTTCTGTTTTTTATATTTTGGCCAATAATTTGAAATTCGCTTTAAATTCATTTTGAATTCTTGGCAGTTCACATCTTACTGAGTAAGTTTTCTTGTACAGAAAAACAACAAGCAAGTACCAAGCTATGTTTGACTCAAATACTCCCTAATAGTGCAACTCACAAACAAATCTCACCAAAATCAGTGTGAAAAAATGTGCTGCAATTATACTGGAGAGAAAAAGCTTTTTTCATGGTATAACTGTCTCACTGCTAGTATTTTACATAAACATGGCAGAGTTATTATTAATATTATTGGCATTTACATAACACCAACAAATTCTGCAGTGTTTTATAATATTATAAAAGGGGGAAATTTAACAATTACAAAATGAGTTTATGAGGACCCTGCTCAAACAATCTTACAGTCTAGAGATCCTGTCATTCAAATAGTAACAAAGTACTTATTCAGGAAAAGAACATTCAGATTACTCTGGTTTTCAAGTATGTCCTGGGGATGTTACCTTCACCCAACAGACAGGGTTTGTGACTATTACCCAATTCAATGGTACTTATTTTATCTACCTTGGAAGGATGAAGGAATGAGTCAACCCTTGCCAGGATTCAACCCTGCAACCCAAACAGATTATAAACAGACACACAGATTCTACTATTGATGCATTAGCCCAGTGAGCTAGAATCCCACATGCCAGGCTCCATCACAAAAACTATCAGACAAGTCAGCATATGTGATATCAAGGTAAGACCTCAGTTCTAGTAGAGCAGGCTTATCGGGGATTACCTGTTCCACCAAAACCCATGTGAGTTGGGGCTCTGTTTCAGGGTTGGGATATTCTTGTATTTCATTACAATATCTTGGTTACTTATAAATGGACAGACTAGAATTTGATCCACATTTCCATCTTATAGTTGATGATACTATAAGGTTATGCACGCAGACATATAGATACATTATTATTGTAGCAGAAGAAACGACACAATTTAGGGCTGCGTTCAGTTGTTAGGAGTAACTGTTTGTCTATTATACTTGAACAATGAATGTCCTATAGACTATAAAAGACATGTTGAAGTTAAAATCAGTAATATTTTGGATCATAAGCAGTTACAAGTGTAATTGAACAGCTACATTTTATGTTCTTTTTTCATTCTAAATAAGATTGTTACTATACTGTTTATTTCAGGTAACAGAATCGTATCTTGTTAACAATTTTACTTTTTTATAAACTACATATGTATGTCCTAGGGAAATCTTCGGACAGAAACTTCTAAGAGTGTTTGAAAGTATAGAAAACATCATAACTCCCTCTTATACTGTACTTGAGCATATACGACTCACACAGTAGAATGCTGCAGAATAGCATATAAGGAAATGAGAAGAGAGGACTCTTCTCTCCGGAGAGAAGTGAAAAGGGAATTACACTGTGTCCTCAATTTAATACATTTCCCAGATTATTCAATGATGTCAGAAAATCTTTCCAACTGATTTCTCTACCAAAATTCACAATGACTTTAAAGGTGATTTATGTAGAGAAATCATTTGGAACGTTTTCCTGGCAGTATACAATTATTTGGAAAGCTTATTAAATTGAGGCCTTCTTTATTTTTCCAGCTCTGCTAGTTTGGTCTAAAATTTGTAATTTGTTTGGAAAAAAATCACAGTTTATTTGATAAACAACTACATGCACGTATATTCTTGACTTCAAGGGGGCCTGGGTCCAGGTTTCCCTGGGTAGCCATATTTCTGCTGTGAATAAAGCTGTGTGAAAGCTGATAGCCATAGAGAAGCTGCTATTAGCTTACTGATCATTTTTCATTCATACTATATCAAGAGTAGGCAACCTTTGACCAGATACTGTGGACAACATCTCCCCTGATGCTTTGCCAGCACTATGATAGTAAAAGCATTATGGGAGTCCACAACACCTGGAGTTCCACAAGTTGTCTATTGCCTACCACTGTCCTATACAATGAATTGCATTTGCTGCCATGTGCATAACTACATGTCCTACCCAGCACTACTGGACAAGGGCTTGCATTATCAGCTCAACTCTTTTAAAAACAATTGGAACATGCTGATTGGCTGAGCTTTTTCCTGATCTGGGGTGCCTTCTCTTCCTCTTAAAATGTAGAATGTGCAATAACTTTACAGCTGGGTGTCTCTATTTATAGAATAGTTGAATGCATCATCTCTATAATCCATTTTAAAATGGGTTTTACTGTCAGCTTGGAGTGTCTTTTGAGGCTATGATATGGTTATTTTATTTATTTATTTGTTCATTTATAAAACCAATACAAAAAGATAGGATAAACGCTAAAAGATCAACTATGAATATATGCAGAGAAACAGGCTGCAAACACTGAATGTAAGGGATATCAACAGCTTTATTACATATACCTTATATTTTCCAAAGTCCAGATGGATACCAGCAAGGAAATTCACGAGTATTTGTGGTTCTATTGGACTTTATATTTGACGCAACCTGTGTTTGTGTTAAACTTGGTAATTTATCGTTGGATTTTTTTTTTTCATGCCCTTAAATTTGATTTCTTCCATTAGATTGTCTTTTGCAAGTTAACCTATTCCTAAGGACAGGGTCACCCTCTCTGATTTTAGTAACTCATTAGATTTATTTTAACAAACTTTATGACTAGTCATTTACATGTACGAAAGGGTGGTAATCGTTATGGTTTTTAGGTAACATGAAAACTTCCCTGCTTTAGGGTTGTAGAATTAAGTCCTTTTTTGGTAGCAAGTAATATTCACATTCTGCTCTAATTAAAATAATTAATCACAGCACTTCCATTGATATCACTGCTGTAATTTATTAGCATTTAATTATTTTCTGTTACATGCCCTGTAAAACCATGGTAAGATGTCAGCCTTACACATATCTGTCCTTATTTCTCCATTACCATAATGTATCATTACTGAAATATTCTCATTTTCAGATCATTACATTAAGAGACCAAGTGTACTTAAAATATTTTTTTCTATGAATCTATATTTTTTTGGTAAAATGGTTCTGGTCTACAAAATACACTGCAATTATATGGTGTTTAGCTAGTGTAAGAAAATACATGCAGACATCTTGTAAACACCCGAGAAAAGGTTTGAACACTATCATATTGTGATTTATTGATTTAACAGTATCATCAGAATTATGCAGCAAACACATTTAGAAGAGACTGATCTTCTGAAAGTTATGTTGTTTAAAATGAGAATTGCAATAAGTGAAATTGAAGAACAGGCTATATGGAAATTGGTCGGAATTTGCTATTTTACAACCATGTAGTAATAGTTACAGCCACTTGTGGTGATTTTTTTTATATTTCCCCCCATTACTGGATTACTGAAAACAAAATGGCAGGTAACTACTTTATACAGGAGTAGATAGCTGCCTATGGATGCATTAAATGTTTATATTTAACATATTTCAAAACCCATATTTAGCATATCTCAAAACCCATGATGACAAGAAATTAACAATTTAAGACAATGAGAAAAACTGCAGTGACAGGAGACAATAAAATCATTTAAAAATATGCATACATTTTCTTGTTACTATTCATAAATGTCTTTACTACTAATCTTGGTGCACAATACACGATTCACAAATTGTGAATAGTTAAAGGGTCACTATAGTTACCAAAACAACTTTAGTTTAACAAAGTTTTGGTGTAAAACTCATGCCCCTTACTCCATTCTTACTGCACAATTACCTACGTGTGACTTGCAATATGGCAGTAAATTGGGATCAATATACCAGTTATATGTGGGTAATGAGAGAAGTGTGACATTTTGGGCGTAATGTGGCTGTTTTGGACAATTTGGTGTAAATAGGGGGAAAATGGTTTACATATGACACAGTTTAAAGGAATATATGGGGCAATGCAATGGAACTATATATATGGTTGAATGCGACAACATATGGGGCAATAGAAAATTCACGTCAATCTGACATCACAACGTACAATATAATAGGGGTGATAGGAGTACAAATAGGACTATGTATGGGGAAAAGGACAACATGACACATACAAGACAATGTGGCGGGAAGTCTTACACATGTAGAGGAAGTATCACTATATGGCAGTGTAGGGGCAAAAGGATGCTGGACAACTGAATTATAACATATGTGAGAGAATTATAGAACATGTAGGGAACTTTACCACACGTAAAGGCCTATAGCACAGATTAGGAATACAATGACATGTATTCTGAATCTTTATTTAAATATTGTTATATGAACTATAATTGTATTATTTCATAATTGGTTTTAACTCTTTTCCCATCCAAATATCAGAACCAATAAAAATATATATATATATTTTCTTATTCATGTTGCATACCAACATGAAAATAAATTTACATATTTTCCAGACCACAAAAAATTGATTGCTGGGATGTGAAACAGCAGAAACAGGAAGAAGTAGGTCTTATTTGAGGAATGTAAAAGCAGAAAAAAGAAACAAGTAGCCAAAGAGATCAAAATGCTATGGAAATACATCTCTTTCGTGACATCCACATTTTATGGATTCTACCAGCAGAGTACCCGACATTTGTGGCTCTTGCAGCACTGACAGGGGTAAGGCAGAGCACATTTCCATGGAACTTACTTGTTGACTACAACATGTAGGTCTAGAATATAGGATCGTTTTACCGGTAAGGAGTGGAATCTTGTAATACCGATGGCAACAGTATCCGTTCAGAAAAAAAAAAAAAGTCTTGTTTGAAATCATAATTTACTAGGGTGTGTAAAGGCTGCATTTATTTGTCCACCAGAAAATATCTTTATCCCTCCTGATTTAATGTCCGAGGGATATGTAGAAAGAACAGGAGAAAGCTTATTGACACCATTAACACAGGGACATATCTGGAGTGCCTGAGTCATTTGATGATGGGGGTGGGGGGAGGGGTCTTGGACCTGGACTGGACACTCTCCTATCTCTGCAACCTCTATGAAATGCCTACCTAAAGCAGGAAGGTGGAGACCCCACTGCAGCTCACTGCTGGCCCCCTTATTTCTGTTTACAGACACATTCCCCACCTCCAATGCCCACATTTCATTACAGCAGCTTTACTAAAAGTAAGAGTGAATAATAAAAACAGTAGTTGTAGAATCTATTTTTTTAAAAGCAAGTATTTGTTGACAATGCATAAAAACAGGACTTCCCATCTTTTGGTATACAGACCATATTTCTATATCCCTAACGTTCCATATTGATCAATGAATTGTTATAGACAGCTGTGCACAAAGTGAACCAAGGCACACTAATGGAAGCCCAATTTATCTCGTACCTCATTAAGATTCCAACCTCTATGTTTGAAATTTTTAATGTCCTTTATCTGTTAAAAGACATAAAGCATGGAGATGAAGAGTGTATAACAGGTTATTACTTACTTTGGTGAACAACTAGTGTTTATATACATCATACAAAGCTTAATGTTTCTCTGACACAGATTAGGTATCTTTCATAATACATAGTTACATAGGCTGAAAAGAGATATGTATCCATCAAGTTCAGTCTTTCTCACATCTGTTGTTTGTACATTACACAATCCTATAAAATTATGATTAGAGTTAAATTTAGGCTGAGGGCTGGAGACCTTTAATCTTAGGGCAGTGTCAGGAAATACATGTCTATACGTGTCTCTGTCTCCGCAGCTCCTCTTGCAGTATATTATTAAAGGGAGAGGGGCGGAATTAACACCCACCAATCTTGGGCAGTCCGGGTCACGTATATCACAGTGCTGCTCTGAGATTAGGGGCCTTAGGCTGAATAGTGCTTGTCACATAGTGAATTATGGCTTTTATTGCACAGTGTGACTTCATCCACCATGAAGTTTAGATTTGGAAATACGATCTGGCAAAGTAACAGGCAGTTTGTGTAATATATATCCATTAAAAAAGGAAAAAAAGATAAAAACCCAATATATCATCCTGTATTCATTACAAACACGTAACTCACTTTCGCTTTGTAACTCATCGTTCATAGATACTTCAAAAGATGCTTGAAGATATGCTTGCTTGCTAAAGAGTAAGATCCCCTGAGGTGTCAATCGAGCAATTAATTAGAGGTGTGAAATCTGAATTAACAGTAGGTTAAGCCTCTGCCACAGACCTGTTTAGATTTTCCTGATCAGTTCTCAGCGTGGTTCCTAAAATTGAAATATATTAGGGAAATAATTGAATATTTAATCTATAAATAGAGAGCATAAAATGACAGAGATAAAGAGAGACAGAGTGAGCAAGTGGGAATTTATTTTATTATAGAGTACTTAATTCATCTCCACACCTGCCACCAAATCCCTAAACTATTTAACTTATTGTGAGCTGTATCTCAGCTATTTATGAACTAACTGAATTGCTAACTAATATGTAAAATATTTAGAGTATAAAATATTCAAAAGTAAATGAAACATCTGTCCCTATCTGTCTGTGTATCCATCTATCCAGGGCTGATGCAAGGATTTTTGGCTACACAGGCAAAGATGTATTTTGCCTACCCAGCAAAAAATGCATCTTCACCTGTGTGTCCCTTAAGCCCCTCTTGAATTTCTTACATTTCTTTGAATGTCTTACACCTTTTAGTGCAGGGGTTCTCAACCCAGTCCTCAGGACCCCCTACCAGTCCAGGATTTGGGGATTACCTGGGTGTGTCTCAGGTGTTTAGAAAAAGGGAAAAAAACACCTTAGATTCTAAGGTGGTTTTTTTTTCTTTTTCTAAACACCTTAGACACACCCAGGTAATCCCTAAACCCTGGACTGGTAGGGGGTCCTGAGGACTAACATTGAGAACCCCTGTTTTAGTGTCTTATCCTCCTTTTAATTTACACTTGCCTTTAGTATATCTTATCCTACATTTTTCCTTTTATTTGTCTCTTACAACCCCCCACTGTGTGTCTATTACGTCCCTCCAGCCCCTTTGTGTATCTCTTTTTTACCCCTACCCGTGTGTGTCTCTTTCTCCCCTCTAGCCATTTGTGTCTTTTTCTACTCCAACCCCTTTGTGTGTCTCTTTCCCCCCAGTACCTTTTGTGTATCTATTTCTCCACTTCCCATCTATTTCTCTTTCTCCTCGCCGCCCTTTTGTGTGTCTCTTTCCCCATGCACCTTGTGTCTTCCCCAAACCCCTTTGTGTCTCAGACATGAATCAAGTGGGACAGCGAGTGATCGGTGAGAGGACAGATAGATTTGCGTGTCATCCACATAGGAATGATATTGGAAGCCACAAGAGCTGATGAGTTTACCAAGAAAGGCAGTGTAGTTTGAGAACAGTAGGGGACCAAGAACAGAACCTTGGGGAATACCGAAGAGAGTTGCTGTGGAGGAAAGGAAGAGACAGAAAAAGAAACACAGAAAGAGCGCTGGGAGAGGTATGATGAGAACAAGGAAAATGCAGAGTCTCGTAGACCAAGGTTACAGAGGATGAGAAGACGTTGTTGATGATCAACAGAGTTGAAAGCAATAGAAAGGTCAAGGAGAAGTAGGAGTGAGTAGCGATCACTTAATTTAGCAGCAATTAAATCATTGGATACTCTGGTCAAGGCGGTTTCAGAAGAGTGATGAGCACGGAATTTGAACTGAAGCGGGTCAAGCAGAGAGTTGTTTTCAAGGAAGTTGGTTAGCCTAGCATACACCACTCTCTCAAGGATCATGGAGGCAAATGCTAGTAGCGAGCTAGGGAGTTAGATGGATGAGGAATTAGGGTCAAGGTTAGGCTCTTTTGGAATATGGGTGATGGCTGTGTACTTGAAAGGTGAAGGAAATATGCCAGAGGAGAGGGAGAGTTTTAATATTTCAGTAAGGGACAGAGGCAGAGAAGGAGACAGAGAGCTAGTGAGATGTGAGGGTATAGAATTGAGGGAGCAAGTGGTAGGGCTGAAGGACCGAAGCAAAGCAGAAATTGATTGTATAATAGGTGCGAGTGAGCATAAAACAGAAGAGGGTGCAGGATTGGGGGAAATATAGGTAGGGGTACTACAGAGATTATAGATCTATTTTCTGATCATGGAAATCTTCTCAAAGTGTGTTGCAAATTTAGTGGTGGTTAATTAGTAGTAGTAAGAGCAGTAATAGGTGAAGAAGAGAGCTAACAGTGTGAAAGATACATTTGGGTTCTTGGGAAAGCAAGGTTATGAGGGTGTTGAAGTAGTTTTCTTTTGCTGAGGAAAGAACAAGACTATAGGTGAGTAGCAGTAATTTATAATAGAGGAAGTCAGACATAGAATGAGAGTCTCTCCAGCAGCATTCAGCAGTTCTGAAGCATTTTTGGAGGTAATGGATCAGCTTGGTGTGCAAGGGTTGTAAATGGGTCACTGGCAATGTTTAAATATAGGAGGTGCCATACTATACAGTTCAGCGGAGTGGGTGGAGTTGTAGATACGTTATGTTTGAGATAAAAGGAGAGTATGTAGGTTAGTGGAGAATTGAAGTAGGTCAAGACAGTGGAGGTTTCTATGAGAGTAATGTACCGAGGGTATGGTGTATGCCAACGTCAAAGATCAACAGATGGTAGTAGATATAGAGCAAAAGGAACATTGGTTGATCAAGTTTTAACTTAAAAGAACACTGCAGGCAACAAAACAACTTTTGCACAAAGAAGCAGTTTTGGTGTATAGATCATGCTGTCTCACTGCTCAGTTCTCTGCCATTTAAATTACTTGGTTTATGTAGCCATAGGCACACCTCCCTGCATGCTACTTACACAGCATTCTCTAACAATTTCTGTAAAGAGAGATCTGATGTTTAAACTTCCTTTATCGCACATTTTGTATAATGTAGAATTACTCATGCTTACTAGCTGTAAAATTGAATTGTATTTGCTGTGATTACGTAATTTGTTTAATGGAATTGAAATATTTACAAATGCCAACGTGTGTAAAATATTCTCACCTTAATGAAGCTTTAGTTGAGTTTTTCTTTTTTTGATGTGCCTGTTATGATGCGCCTGTTATGTTTTCTAGTATTTATAGTTCAACATTAAAGGAAAACTGTCATTTTTGATTATTTAAAAAAATAAAAGATTACATGCATTATAGACTATGTGTGTATTATTTTGTAAAGAATGGATATAAGTAAATATAACTTTTCAGTGCATCTCCTGACTTAGACTTGCACTATGGGGCTGTCATCTTTACGTTTGCTTTGGTCACTCAAAAGCACAGCTTAAGTGACCAAATACTATGGGGATGATCAAGAGCTAGTGTATAATCCTGAATTTTGTCATTGGAAGCAAGTGCCATGTGTTTGAAAAATGTACTCTGGGCAATTTCAGCCATTCTGATTGTGCATTATCTTAGAGGGTAAGTGTTGCTTCTGAGGTCTAATAATGGCTGCCTCTAAGAAGCAATTGCGAGCCATGAGATACACTGGAATGTTATTAACTTAAAGGGACACCATAGTCACCAAAGCAACTTTAGCTTAATTAAGTGTTTTGGTATATAGATCATGACCCGGCAGTCTCAAAATGACACAAAAAGTGCCTAGTAGTGTGCTGCAATGCAAATGCATTTTTTTTTGAAATGCGACTGTGGAGGTAACAGGCATAGTCACATCACAAGACTGTCAGGCAGTGCAAGACCACTACAGTTTTGTTGTGGAAAATTTTGTTTGTCTGCTATTTTGTCATGGCCCTGGAATCAAATTCAACAAAATATTCAAGAGTGGGCTGGTGGATACGTACCTGGGATGATGAGTTCAGCTGTACGTGTCCAATCTGCCTCTTTCGACTTCTGCCACTATTATTACACCAGCAAAGTTGGTACAAGTGGCACTGACAGTAGCTAGGCACAGCAGTAACCTAACTAGTCTCACACGGAGCAATGAGAAAAGCTATCTCACACTCTTACAGCAAAACCAATTCCTGTCTGTTGGTCTGTCTCCCTCAAAAGCTGAATTCAGATTATCAAGAAGATCCTGCGTGGAAATGTAGTTGGTTTATTGGTCCTCATTCTTTCCCCTGTATTAATCACTTCCATTGATCTGTGAATGAAATTAGCGTTTAGTGGTTGTCCCTTATCCATCAATCATTGTTTATTTCCACCTCTTGATTGGACAGTAATGTAGCCTACACAGTGGCGGATCCAGAGCCTGATCTCGGGAGGGGCACTTGTAGATTATTTAAAGAAATAATCCAGACACAATAACTACTACAGCTCAGTGTAGTGGTTATGGTGTCAATAGTGCCGGGACCCCCTCCTAGAGTAAGTAGTCAAACCGTTTAAGAACAGTTTGACAACTTACCTGAGGTCTGCTGGGAAATGGGGCGGTAGTAGGGCATAGGAGCAGTGGTATGTGTGAGTAGTGCAATGTGTAAGGGGTGCAGTGTGGGTGTGTGTGAGGGGGACAGTGTGTGAGCAGTGTGTGTGTGTGTGTGTGTGTGAAGGTTGTAGTGTGTGAGTAGGGGGGGCAGTGTATGTCAGGGATGCAGTGTATGTGTGGGACAGTATGTGTGTGTAACAGTTGCAGAGTGTGTGTGAGTGTGGGCAATGTGTGTGTATGGGGCGGCAGTGTATGGGGGGCAGTGTGTGTGTATGGGGGGCAGTATGTGTGTATGAGGACAGTATGTGTGCATGGGGGGCAGTATGTGTGCATGGGGGGCAGTATGTGTATGGGGGCAGTATGTGTGTATGGGGGGCAGTATGTGTGTGTAGCATGGGGTGTGTATGGGGGCAGCATGGGGGGCAGTATGTGTGTATGTGTATGGGGGGCAGCATGGGGGCAGTATGTGTGTATGGGGGGCAGCATGTGTGTGTATGGGGGGCAGTGTGTGTATGGGGGGCACAGCATGTGTATGGGGGGCAGTATGTGTGTATGGGGGGGCAGCAGCATGGGGCAGTATGTGTGTATGGGGGGCAGCATGTATGGGGGGGCAGTATGTGTGTATGGGGGGCAGCATGTGTATGGGGGGGCAGTATGTGTGTATGGGGTAGCATGGCAGTATGTGTAGGCATGTGTATGGGGGGCAGTATGTGTGTATGGGGGAAGCAGTGTATGGGGGGGCAGTATGGGGGCTATGCGTGTGTGTTAAGGGTAGGGGGGGCTTTTTTTTTAATAATATATATCTTTATTTAATAAAAAAAAAAATATTCTATGTCCCCCCTCCCTTCTTACCTTTATTGAGGAGGAGGGGGGACATATTTTCATCCCTGGTGGTCCCAGTGGTGATTCCCTGGTGGTCCCAGTGGTTCAAGTGAACTATAGCCCACGCTCCCGGGATAGAGTTCACTCTCGCGAGATTTGGAGCGTTTCCGCGCTCCAAATCTCGCGAGAGGAGGACCCGGAGGAGCTACAGACTGAGCTCTCGGGTCCTCCATCTCCCTCCCCTGCCGGCTGTCAGCACAGTGCCTGCGGACTGGGGAGGGAGAGCTCTGATCTCCCCCCTGGATCCACCAGTGAGCCTACATCACTGTGTAGACCTCTTGTCCATCAGAGTAAACAAAGCTTATTTACTCTCCCCACCCCCCATATAAAATAAAATAGCTTTTTTTTTTACATTCTGCACCACATTTTTTATGGCCCCAAAGATGGAACTCTGAATCAAAAACACACAAACCTGTTATTTATTGCACGGGTCATTTGTGTGGTGATATGTCTACATGGCTCTTTGGAGTTATGGCATTTAGATGACCTGCTGAATGGCCAAAATTGGGACGAATTGCACCTCATTTGAAAATTAATACACAAGTCGATTCTAAAGTAAACACACTGTGCTGTAAGATCTGATTGAAAGGAGACTATGTGAGTCAAAGTCAGGGGAGGTGTGGATAGGGCTTCATACACAGAAACAAAATGATTATGTTTTAAGTGGTAACTAATTGAGCTGTGAGACAGCAGTGGCATGATTGGTATATACCAATACTGCTTCATTAAAGGGTCATATGTTCTACCTTTGTGACATCAAAAAATCCCACTTATATAATAATGGGTACCATTGGGAACCTGCTGGGGTCACGTTATGCACTAATTGCACAGCTCCTTGCTGATTCAGCTGCTGGGGTGACACCATAAATCAGCTTCCATCTTCTGGCAACAGTACATGGCGTGTGATGCCAGCAGCAAGAGTGATCCTAGCAGCTACCTCGGTTCCTGCTATGCAGCATACTGGCAGAGTAGACAGTAGCCACAGAGTGCAGCTGGTAGGCAAGTGTCTACAGATAAGGAGAAAATCCATCAGGTCTGTCTTTTCTCCTTAGTTGTGCAGGCAGTACAGGCTCTCAGAAGGCTGGAGTTTTTCAGTTTCTTTGGTAGTAGCTGCTTACAACTGCCTCTGCTCACCTTCTGGTTCAGTTCTCTGTTTCTACTAGGTATTTACCTGGATATCAAAGCAGGACAGGAACAGATCCAGAACAAAGCTATATTAGATACCTCTCAGGTTTCTTTTTTAAAATTACATTTTAGTTGAATACATCTATTGCATATATTTATTAAACGTCAGCTACTCACACCTAGTGGAGACTTCAAAACAAATATTCAGGTGGGAGGATCTAGGTTTCCACCCAACCTTCACCAATGGGTGGCATGAGGGGGCTCTAATTATTAAATAAGGGGCTGGGTAGACATGGTATTGTCAAATAATTGCATGCACCCCACCTCTCCTCCCCATACCTCTCTGTGGGTGGCTAGGGGTCCCTAAACCCCTAACCACCCTCCATAAAAACTAAATGTTCCTACCCTAATAACAGTGAGGGTGAACAATAAAATTAAGACCTGTCAAGAAAAAAATTATACTTACCGTAAGAAGTCTTCTTTTGTGTAATTCTGATATTCTTCATCCATCGTTGCCCCATGAGGGCTTGCCACAGACTGAGTTCTCATAGCATTGAAAGTCCTTATAAAGGCTTTCCCACACAATGTCAGTTATTACATCGCATGGTTAAAATTTCCATGTAGTATCAGTAAAAGTGCTGTGTTTGTAAGTCTAGAGCAAAAAGTCTGCCAAGTCTCGAGGTTTGACACCAAATGCATCCAGATTAGCTTGGGCTGAATTTTACTAAAGTGAAATATGAACAGAATTTGGTCAGCCCAAGTGTACCTGCAGGAATAACCTGAATGCATCGGTATATTTTACTGATATCACATTGCGTGGGACATTTTCCCTGCTGGAGGATCTCAGTCTGCAGCATACCATGCATGAAGATCCATTCATTTTATTGCAACGCACAATAGATTTTTATTTTTATTTGGAAAATCGTTTTTTAATTTTTATTTTAACTAGCTATTTTGGTTATTCTTGATTGTAATTTGGGGTTTAAGAATAGAATAATTAAGAGACAGAAAACTTCAGATGGGTAAGTTTAACTTTTATTTTACAGGTATTGCCCTCCCACACTATTATTGGTGATGGGAGGCATGGTCCTTACTTTTTATTAGGGGCTGACTAGATGATTGGGGACCAATAGTCACCATTAGGTCCTCTCCCTGATTTTTATAATTAGTGCCTCCACCAGCTGCCAATTGGTGTGGGGGATTGCCCACCTGCTAGGTTTAACAAGTTCGTAGAGATGCTCCCACCTGTTGCATGGCAGGTGGGGACACACTGGGAAGTTTTAAACCTCGCTTTTATTAACATGAAGGTCTTATTTTAACTTTTTAAATGTGGCGGCTGGCTTGCAAGTGCTGCCCAGCTGCCACATAATTAACTCTTGCGTCGCCAAGGGTTTTTAACCTTTTGCCAGCTGGCAGTGTACTTTTATATATTATCAGCCACAAAAAAAAAAAAAAACACTGACAGGTGAAAAGAATCACATTAATTATATTGTTACAGTGGCACCTGTCAAAGGGGTGGGGTGTATTAGAAGCAATTGGACAGTTAGTTCTTGACTTTAATGTGTTGGAAAAAGGAAAAATAGGCAATGAAAAAACATCTAAGTGATTTTGGCAATGGCCAAATAGTGATGGCTAGACGATTGGGTCAAAGCATCTCCAAAATGGCAAATCTTGTGGAGTGTTTCCGTTATGCATTAGTTAGTACCAAAAGTGGTGCAACGAAGGGCTACAAGTCAACCAGTGCCAGCGTGATGGTTGTCCCAGGTTCACTGATGCGTGTGGGGAGTGACAGCTAGCCTGTCTGGTTCGATCACACAGAAGAGCTACTGTAGCGCACATTTTTGAAAAACACAATGCTGGCCATGATAGAAAGGTGTCAGAATACACAGTGCATCACAGTTTGCTGCATAGCCACAGACTTGTTAGAGTGCCCACAAAGACCTTGTCCACCACCAAAAGCGCCTTCAATGGGGACCATGGAGGAATTGAAGAAGGTTACCTGATCTGATGAATCATGTCTTTATTTAGATCAGGTGGATAGTTTGGTGCATGTTTGTCGTTTACCTGGGGAAGAGATGGCTGCAGGATGCATGGAAAGAATATAGGCCAGCATATGCAGTGTTATGCTCTGATCAATATTCTGCTGGAAAACCTTGGGTCCTGGCATTTATGTGGATGTTACTTTGACGCATACCACCTACCTAGTGATTGTTGCAGACCATACACACCACTTCATGGCAATGATGTTCTCTGATGGCAGTGACCTTTTTAACAAGGATACTACACCCTGCCACACTGCAAAAATTGTTCAGGAATGTTTTGAGGAACATGACAAAGAGTTCAAGGTGTTGCCCTGGCCTCCAAATGTCCCAGATCTCAAGTAAATTGAGCATGCAGGCCCCACCAGTCTGCTACTAAATTATTTGTGCCAGATATTACAGGACATGTTCAGATGTTTTGTGGAGTCCATGACTCAACGCATCAGAGCTGTTTTGGCAGCACAAAGAGAACTTACACAATATTAAGTAGGTGGCTTTAATGTTGTGGCTGATCAGTATATTCATAATATTTATATTATGAATATATTGTGCAATAGTCTGATTGGCCTATTTTTGTGTCATTTAGGTTTGTCCAAAATGGTTGTCATAAAACTATTGCATTGGTGAAATTCATCCAAACCAAAAAGTCAAATGGATGAATCACAAAGCAAACAGCTAAAATTTATTTTTCCGATGAATAGATTTGGCTAGCGGCTCCCTGTTAGCTGGTACGGGCTTTCAGTAGCGACAGCTGCCAACTCCCAGTCAGTACATTAAGTTTTGCAGTCAGTAAATAGCTGCTACTCGCTAACAGTAGCAAAAGGAATTTTAGCAACAACTTGTTGGTATTATGTATTGACAACATTGAAAATTAATCCATAGTTAGGCGAAACTATATTTTAATCCCTTAAGGACCGCGGATGTACTAGGTACGTCCGCCCAAAGAAACTGCAAATATGAGCCGTCCTTATTACTTACCTGATCGCCGTCATCCCCCTGCCGGCGATCTGTGTTTCTCCCGGTCTGGGGGGACTGCCTCTGCAAATTAGGCCCCCGCGGGCCATGTGTTCGCTCTGAAAGAGCGACCACAAGGCCGTAATAGGCGTCCATAGGCGTCCAGCCTGCAGGGTGACTGCCTAAACTGACAGGCAGTTTCCTTGCTTCTATTAAAATAAAAAAAATAAAAGTGTGTGTGTGTGTTGAAATTATACATCATAAATTATATGTATATATAAATAAATAAAAATAATACGATATATATATATCCATAATTACAAAAATAATTTCATAAATATACACGTAGACTTCAAATATATAAATATGTATATATATTTAAATTCTACTGGCATATTTATGTAATATTTTTACATAATTAAGTAATTCTATTAATTGCAATTTGAGGGACCTGCCTGACAACCCAGAATGCAAGTCCAGAGAATTTAATTTGCTATATGTAACTGTATTTAACCCTGTAACTTTCAATGACACTTTAAAAACTGTACATGGGGGTACTGTTTTACTCAGGAGTCTTCGCTGAACACAAATATTAGTGTTTCAAAACAGTAATACATATCACAGAGATGATATTGTCGGTGATAGTGACATTTTTTGAATTTTTCATACACAGACTGCACTTTCACTAATGATATCATTGTTGTGATATGTTTTACTGTTTTGAAACACTAATATTTGTGTTCAGCGAAGTCTCCCGAGTATAACAGTACCCCCATGGGTCAAATATAAGGCTTGATTTTCTGTTTTTTCACCTTGAAATTTGCCAGATTGGTTATGTTGCCTTTGAGAGCGTATGGTAGCCCAGGAATGAGAATTACCCCCATGATGGCATACCATTTGCAAAAGAAGACAAGGTATTGCAAATGGGGTATGTTCAGTCTTTTTTAGTAGCCACTTAGTCACAAACACTGGCCAAAGTTAGCGTTCATAATTGTTTTTTGCATTTTTAACACACAAACAAATATAAATGCTAACTTTGGCCAGTGTTTGTAACTATGTGGCTACTAAAAAAGACTGGATATACCCCATATTGAGTACCCTGGGTTGTCTACATTAAAAAAATATGTACATGTGAGGTGTGATTCAGAGATTTATGACAGATAACAGTGTTACAATGTCACTATTGATACATTGATATACATGATATAAATATTTTGAAACCTCAATGTCCTACTTGTACTTATAGCCCTATAACTTGCAAAAAAAGCGAAGAACATGTTAACATTGGGTATTTCAAAACTCAGGACAAAATTTTGAAACTTTTTAGCATGGGTGGTTTTTGCCAGTTGTAGATGTGTAACAGATTTTGGGGGTCAAAGTGTTTTTTTTTATTTTTTTCATCTTATTTCATAATTGTTTTAATAGTAAATTATATGATATGATGAAAATAATGGTATCTTTACAAAGACCATTTAATGGGGAGAAAAATGGTATATAATATGTGTGGGTACAGTAAATAAGTAAGAGTAAATTACAGCTAAACACAAACAACGCAGAAATATAAAAACAGCGCTAGTCCGGTAAGAAAATTTAAAAACGGTCTGGTCACTAAGGGGTTAAACTGTTAGAATTTTGCAGTCACTTTTGCATTCAGTAGCCAGCAACTAGTCATTAACAGTGAATAGCTCCAAGCTGATAAAAAAAGGGAAAGACATGGTTGTAAATGAGTCCAATGTTTTTAGGGCAAATGGAATTACAAAGTCATATATAATTCAGAATAAAACACTATTATAAAGGAAGACTAGTTTAAACAAGTACGCATAGAATATAGTGAAACATTTGCTCCACTTGTATGACAGGACAACTTTCCATCTTTAGATTAACAGATGGAAAGAAAATTCAAGCTAAGCACCCTAAATTTCAAAACTGTTTTCCTAAATGGGGCATGAAAGAGAATGTCTACCCTTCAGAGGTCCATACAGGCGGATGTGGCCCTGCTCCGCACTGATATCACAGACCTGGTAGGCTGCATCGTCATAGTGGAAGCCACCTCAGAGCAGAATGCTCAAACAATAGCGCAGCTCCAAGAAGACATCCACACACTCACCAAGCGTCAAGCAGCCTTCAAACTGTGCTTCGCCTTACTGGAAGACTCGAGTCGCCGCAACAATCTAAAAATCCGGGGAGGAGAGCATACCAGCGGTAGAGCTTCCACATCTTATCCTGTGGCTCGTGGCCCACCTACTGGAAGCAATCCAGAGCCATAAACCTAGAGGGAATATTCCAAGTTCCGAAACCCAAGAAAACGCCTGAATCGGCACCCAGAGACCTGATAGTGCGGTTTTGCAATGTAGCAGACATGATGCTAGTGCAAGAAGAACGTAAGGGGACAGCCCAGCTCAACTGCGAGAACATGGCTATATCTTTCTTTGTGGATCTCTCCGGTGAGACACTACAATGGTGCAAGACGCTACAACCCCTCGCAGCCCTGCTCCGCAGCCACGGCAAAGAATACCGCTGGAGATCTCCACGGGCCTTAAAAGTAAGACAGGGAGAAGAGGTACACTCCATCATGGATAAGCACCTGCACTCCTCACCAAGCTGGGCCTTCCAGGGGACTCCCTACAGCACTCCAACAAACATGCAAAGACCTCAGTGACCCATAGATGGAAGCCAACCACGATCACACCATTCATCCCGAAAACAACTACACCAGCGGCAGCGGCTACAATCACTACCTGAGATGGTGAAATGGGCGCCAGGAACTTACCTCCTATCATGCATGGGACTCTCCCAAACTGCGGTTCAAAATTGGTTAAACTTAGCCCAAAGCACAACCAGCCATCCCCCGCTATACTCTTCGGGCACACCACTGTAACCCCCAGACGGCAGGAACACCAGTCCCCTCCATAGGTTTCAAGCATATTACAATGTTTTACATTCTTATGTCCTGTGGTTCCCCCGTTAATATCTGCTTGCACAGTCTCCGTCAGGTATCACCACCTATGCAACTATCTACATTAATGATCATCATGCTAACACTATGCCTAGCTTGTTTTTACAGCACATTGAGGGCTGGCTCACTCCCAGCACACTTACTATGGGCTTGGTGGCTACCCTTTACCTCATGTGACACCATTACTTAATTGCTGATTAAACTGTGCAGACGTTCTTTGTATGAAATATTAGACTTCAAGCCTTATTTTATGCTGGTTACTATTTTATGACGATATTTAGATGACGCACTCTCGACCAATCCTGTAATTATCTACTGCAATGTCTTTACACGCATGCAACAATTATTATTACCAAAAAATGTGCTACTGCCCTTCACTGTTGAAATATATATACTACTTTCTCTTGCCACTGCTGTTGGAGCAGCGCAAGTCTGTTTGTTCTTCTGATGCACAAAAGAAAAAAAAAAAGATAGTCTACATGGAGAAGGCAATAGTCAATAGTATAAGGCACTTGAGGGTGACTCTAAATTGTGTTGCTTGTAGGTAAGTTCTTTGTTTCACTCAACCTCCTCAGAATATGAAAATTAATACAATCCTCAGCACACAGCAAAAGGGTATAATGGTGATTTACTCATCCATCAAACATGGAAAGACAATCTTTCGACAACAAATTTATCTTTTGATTGATTAAGGCACATTTGGAGTTGAAATGTTGCCTTTCTACGTTTGATGGCTGAATAAATCCCCATAATACCCATCTGCTGTATGTTGAGAATTCGATGAATTTTTATATGGAGTACCCACCAGTATTTGAGGATCCAAAAAGACAGATCCATATGTTCATACTTTAAGACATCTATGATCAGAAACAGGCCACCAGAGCTTAATAATGAAAAGATGAACAAAGTGCTCACAGAGGAAGGCTTCTCACAGAACAAAGTAGAACCGTGCTTATATTCCAGGACTCATTATAACAAAACAAGCAATCTTATCGTTGTTCATAATATCATAATAATGTATTGCAGGAAAGAATTGACTATACTTTAGAAACACTGAACCAAAACTGTGAGATTACGTAGCTTGAAGACATCACTCTCTAGCTTTGTATCTAAAAGTGGACACAAAATAAAGATAGATGTATAGGTTAGCGCAGTAGCTACATAATACAACAATGACAAAAATTCCAGGAGTTATTTCATGCTGCATGCACCTCCCACTGTAGCGCCAAACATGACGTAGAAAATACAACAGAAAAGTTAAATAAAAAAACAGGCCAACGTTACAAAATGTTAGTGTGTTTAACCAGTGCTAGAGAAATGACAAAATACATTACAGCAGATGTTTAGGGACATGCATTGATAAAGGGGATAACCTTTACTTTTCTATTGGTATTTGTATCTAAATGGAGAGGGAAGATGATGGGAGTAATCTGCAGAATCAAAACAGAAGATCATTGAAGTATTAAACTAACATATTTCAAGATAGAAACCATCAGATGGTCAGTTTTAGAGAAAAAAAGCACACAGCCCTGCAGAACAAGCAAACCAATACGTAATCTGGATATCTTATTATTATTTATTTTTTTGTGTGGAAATGGGACCGGATATGTCAAATCCCACACCAATTCAGGATAATCACAGATGTAAAAGGTGGCTGAAAGGATCAATTGCAGGACTTATAATATTGATTTGAGGCATCATCTACTCGACTTGAAGAACAAGGAGTTATTGACCTTATTGTGCAACAAAAGAAATGACTGCACAGCCACTCACCAAACCATTGGAAATGAATCCACTTCTGTAGGATAGGATGGGCTTCATATAATGATGTACGTGCTATTGAGAAGAAGTATTAGAATAGCAACATCATGTAACATATTTAACCCCTTAAGGACCAAACTTCTGGAATAAAAGGGAATCATGACATGTCACACATGTCCTGTGTCCTTAAGGAGTTAAAGAACTAAAAAATTAATGCCTGTCATCACCAGTAAATTATAATGAATTATCTTAATTTGAATCTTGTTGGTTTTTTTCAATAAGCTCAACTAACACCAATAAACCTTGCTTCATCTTCTGTTATATAATGATGGACATGTTGTTGGAGTATTAACACAATTCTCCAATGTAGTGAGTATATTTGGAATACTGAACTGTCGGTGGAGCTACATTACCAGGGCTAGTCACTAAAGTGAGAATTCAAAGTGCTTTTCAAATTTAAGGCCAGAGTAGCCAAGCTGAAAACACAGCTGATTTAGAGAAATTTTATAGTTTGGCTATTTTGATCTTAAATTTCAAATTCACATTGGATTTTCACTTTAGCAAAATACCCTGTGTTATTATTGACATTTATATAGAGCCAACGTAGTCTGCAGCACTTTACAATGGTATAAAAGGGGTCATTTAAAAACAAAAGAGACAATCTATTTTAACAGGGGTTTTAGGTTGACGTGTACCCTGCTTGAACGAGCTTACAATCTAGAGGTGGAGAATAAAAACACAATAGCAGGGCAATAAGGGGGATAGGAATCAAGTACCAGGGCAGAAAAGTAGCATAATTGAAAGATGACAGTTGATCCTCTAATTAAAATGAGAAAGTAGGATATAGGATTGCGGAATGACAGTTAACCTGGAAGGTCATAGACTATTCTGAAGAGAATTTTAAGGGACTTCTTAAGAAATTGAAGACCTAGGGAGTCTAATTGAGGAAGGCAGGCAAACAATATACAAGTAGTACTGTCTGTTATTATTCAGTGTTTAAAGTTTCTTGATGAAGGGTTACTTTAAACCTCTGGAGCAGGGGGACCATTTCTTTGTAATATGACCTATTGGGCAATATGGATGAGGTCCCCCTGCTCCGAGGGCTATTTTACACACTCCTTCCTCACATCACAGGTCCAACCACAGGTTTCTCACAGGTACACGCTCCAGTTCAGTGACTGGAAGGAGGATGAGTTTAAAAATAAAAACAAAAAGAGAGCCCACAAGGAAGGAGGGTGGCAGAGGAGAGTTAGCTTCTAACGTCTGTTGGCAGCGTGCAGTGCTCTCTGACGACAGACAAAAAATGTGCACAAAATTGACAGAGTTCTGGGCTGCCAATGTTATGTGTGCTGGGGGTGTAATTAGCCCCGAACACACAATTAAAAATATCTCTGATTTATGCAGAAATATTGCACATACATACCCCTACTACTATTACCACTTCAAATACCTGAAGTGGCCATAGTGGTTGGAGTAACCCTTTAAGTTTTGAGCCAATGCCTTTCATTACCAGTGGATGCCTACATGCATTTGAACCTGATAAAGGTATTACAGTAAGAATACAAATAACTTTACCAATAGCCCTTGACACATTCTCAATTTTGCATAGTTTTGAATACCATAATAAAATAGCAGAAATAAAGCATATTTTGAAAAACAGCACGTTTTGTAAAAAACTAAAATATAATACAAATATAATTGTAAATGTTTCTAAGCCAAATCTAGACAAAATGATCTCATATATAAAAGTGAATAAATATGAAAAAAAATAGCAAATTAAACCTTTTAATGGTCACAGCTATTATTTCAGCAGGAAGGACCAGCTAAACTTTAAAATGGCTAATAAGGGGAGGAGGTCAAGAGGACAAACCACATACAGAGTTATTCATTAAATGAGAATTGCCAGGAATTCAAATTAAATTCAAAATTTTAGGCCAAAATAGTGAAACTGAAAAAAAAGATTTTTTCCACTTCCGCTACTTTGTCCTATAATTTGAAGTTCACTTTTAGTTCTCCTTCATTTATGAATATACTGTATAAATCAACAATTTTATGCAGTAAATCCTATTGTTTACATGAAAACATGAACATCCCTGAGCAGGGTTGGACTGGGGATTCCAAAACAGCCCTGGAAAAAAAATCTAAGCCAGCCCCATAAGTCATTGCGCCATATATTGTCGCATGTAATATGTAAGGCTATGTCTTGCCACCCTAGATGATTGATATATATATATATATTGCTTTTTCCAATATAAAATATTGGTCCTTTCAGAGTAAAGTTTTTAATTATACAGTAAGCATACTCACATGCAGACACAGACAATCTCACTGACACAAGCTGATTGATACACAGCCTCATAGACAAACAATCTCACTGATATACATAAGGTCATTGACATAAAAACACAAGCCCACTCACTAGCAGGCGCGCACACACACCCACACACATCTTAATGTAGTGGCTCTGGTGTCTATAGCCTGTCCCTGCAGGCTTTTCAATGTAAACACTGACTTTTTAGAGAAAAGCCAGTGTTTACATTGCTTCCTAGTGACAGACACTCAGACGGTCACTAGAGGTGCTTCCTGTGTCAGTACGGATTGGCTGAGATCATCAAGCTTGATGATCTCAGCCCTAGAGGCAGGGCCAGACGAGGGGAGACCAGCACGACGTGGGAAAAAAAAAAGGTGAGTAAAAACATGCATACACACACACACCATGACAGACACAAACCATGACAGACACACACCATGACACAGACAGACCGTGACACAGACACAAACATGACAAACACACACACACCATGACACAGACAGACCGTGACACAGACAGACACACATTACATGACACACACCATGACACAGACACACATTGCAAGACACAGACAGACCGTGATACAGACAGACACACATTACATGACACACACCATGACACAGACAGACACACACAATGACACAGACAGACACACACACACCATGACACAGACAGATACACACACACACCATGACACAGACAGAGACACACACACCATGACACAGACAGAGACACACACACCATGACACAGACAGAGACACACAATGACACAGACAGACACACACAATGACACAGACAGACACACACACACACCATGACACAGACAGAGACACACACACCATGACATAGACAGAGACACACACACACCATGACACAGACAGAGACACACAATGACACAGACACACACAATGACACAGACAGACACACACACACACACCATGATACAGACAGCGACACACACACACACACCATGACACAGACAGAGACACACACACACCATGACATAGACAGAGACACACACACCATGACACAGACAGAGACACACACAGACACACACAGAGACACACACAGACACACACACACATACACTCACACTGACACACAATTTCTACCTGTGGGGAAGCTCCTTTGGCGGCTGCGGGGGGAGCTGGCTGTTCTGTCTCTGCTCCCCCTCCCCAGCGCGCCGTGTAATGAGACCGGGGCCGGAATATGATGTCATATTCTGGCCCTGTCTCTTTCTAGTGCGCTGGGGAGGGGGAGCAGAGACAGAACAGCCAGCTCCCCCTGCGGCCGCCTAAAGAGCTCCCAATAGCCCTTGACACATTCTCAATTTTGCATAGTTTTGAATACCATAATAAAATAGCAGAAATAAAGCATATTTTGAAAAACAGCACGTTTTGTAAAAAACTAAAATATAATACAAATATAATTGTAAATGTTTCTAAGCCAAATCTAGACAAAATGATCTCATATATAAAAGTGAATAAATATGAAAAAAAATAGCAAATTAAACCTTTTAATGGTCACAGCTATTATTTCAGCAGGAAGGACCAGCTAAACTTTAAAATGGCTAATAAGGGGAGGAGGTCAAGAGGACAAACCACATACAGAGTTATTCATTAAATGAGAATTGCCAGGAATTCAAATTAAATTCAAAATTTTAGGCCAAAATAGTGAAACTGAAAAAAAAGATTTTTTCCACTTCCGCTACTTTGTCCTATAATTTGAAGTTCACTTTTAGTTCTCCTTCATTTATGAATATACTGTATAAATCAACAATTTTATGCAGTAAATCCTATTGTTTACATGAAAACATGAACATCCCTGAGCAGGGTTGGACTGGGGATTCCAAAACAGCCCTGGAAAAAAAATCTAAGCCAGCCCCATAAGTCATTGCGCCATATATTGTCGCATGTAATATGTAAGGCTATGTCTTGCCACCCTAGATGATTGATATATATATATATATTGCTTTTTCCAATATAAAATATTGGTCCTTTCAGAGTAAAGTTTTTAATTATACAGTAAGCATACTCACATGCAGACACAGACAATCTCACTGACACAAGCTGATTGATACACAGCCTCATAGACAAACAATCTCACTGATATACATAAGGTCATTGACATAAAAACACAAGCCCACTCACTAGCAGGCGCGCACACACACCCACACACATCTTAATGTAGTGGCTCTGGTGTCTATAGCCTGTCCCTGCAGGCTTTTCAATGTAAACACTGACTTTTTAGAGAAAAGCCAGTGTTTACATTGCTTCCTAGTGACAGACACTCAGACGGTCACTAGAGGTGCTTCCTGTGTCAGTACGGATTGGCTGAGATCATCAAGCTTGATGATCTCAGCCCTAGAGGCAGGGCCAGACGAGGGGAGACCAGCACGACGTGGGAAAAAAAAAAGGTGAGTAAAAACATGCATACACACACACACCATGACAGACACAAACCATGACAGACACACACCATGACACAGACAGACCGTGACACAGACACAAACATGACAAACACACACACACCATGACACAGACAGACCGTGACACAGACAGACACACATTACATGACACACACCATGACACAGACACACATTGCAAGACACAGACAGACCGTGATACAGACAGACACACATTACATGACACACACCATGACACAGACAGACACACACAATGACACAGACAGACACACACACACCATGACACAGACAGATACACACACACACCATGACACAGACAGAGACACACACACCATGACACAGACAGAGACACACACACCATGACACAGACAGAGACACACAATGACACAGACAGACACACACAATGACACAGACAGACACACACACACACCATGACACAGACAGAGACACACACACCATGACATAGACAGAGACACACACACACCATGACACAGACAGAGACACACAATGACACAGACACACACAATGACACAGACAGACACACACACACACACCATGATACAGACAGCGACACACACACACACACCATGACACAGACAGAGACACACACACACCATGACATAGACAGAGACACACACACCATGACACAGACAGAGACACACACAGACACACACAGAGACACACACAGACACACACACACATACACTCACACTGACACACAATTTCTACCTGTGGGGAAGCTCCTTTGGCGGCTGCGGGGGGAGCTGGCTGTTCTGTCTCTGCTCCCCCTCCCCAGCGCGCCGTGTAATGAGACCGGGGCCGGAATATGATGTCATATTCTGGCCCGGTCTCTTTCTAGTGCGCTGGGGAGGGGGAGCAGAGACAGAACAGCCAGCTCCCCCTGCGGCCGCCTAAAGAGCTCCCTCTGCGGCTGCAGGTGAGCCAGCTGCCTGCCGACGGCCTACTGGGAAATTTCCCAGTATCCCGGTGGGCCAGTCCGGCCCTGTCCCTGACACAGCACTAAACTACAAGCATCATAGTCAAATTGACTCTTGCAGTCCAAAAGTGGTATACTGTTGAAAGGAAAATAAAACATGTTAAAAATAACCGCAAGCATAATTTTGGAAATGCGTGCAACAAGAAATAGTTGATTGACTCTCTCAAACTTTCTATTAAAATAAAATAATTATAGTAAAAAATTATATGTGGGGGTGGATAGCCCAGAAGCTATTAACCAGAGATGGTCTGGGAATAACCTTTCCTCTTTCACCACTTCACAAGTGATGGTGGAAAACTAGACTTGTGTAGGGGCCAAGAGAATAGAATACTAGTTCCTCCAAAGCCTCTGTTGTAGGGTGGAGGATAAAATGTAACCAGACAGGGGATTCAAGTTTTCAATTTTTTGTAATTATGTATTTTTATAGAACATTTAAGAGGACCTATTGTCCTGACTTGTTACATGCTGGGTTCCAACATTCTCCAGATATGTGTTTTTAGGCAGTTTGGAGGCAAAATGGATACAAACAGTGAAGATGTTTGAAATCTTTAGTAGCTAATAAAGCAGTATCCCTACTATATTTTCAAAATGTAAGTTCAAAGTCTTATTCCCTGGCGAGGTTAAGTAATGCCTTCATCCTACAGAGATTGATAAAATGAACATTGTTGAATAATGGCAACTAATCTACATCAGTAGCATATTTGAGGTGAGAAATGTTGTGTACTAGGAACAACATCCCTTTTATTTTGCATCTTCATACAACAAACCTGGGATTTTACTACCTCTTGCTGCTGCAATAGGAATTGATTAATTTACACAGGGCTCCTCTCAGAGACCTCCACCTATAAGAATCCATGCAAACTGTCCTGTGTGTGGAATGATGGAAATTGGAAAGACTTGTCTAGCATCGCTCTGCAAGTTCACAGAGAGGAACTTCTCTACCCTGGTGATCAGACTGACATCCAAGGCCTTCCTAAGACTAATGTGTAACATTATTTGGGAAGAATTGGTGGGTGTAATTGTGGAATACATAGATAGCAGACTTGCTGTTTAGGTCAAATACGTTATTTCGTGATGCCCATTCAATTGTAACTGTATATTTAAATATGGGAAATTATTTTGCATGGGGAGTAATGGCAGAGAAAACACACAACAATCCATTCCCTCCTTACAAAGTTCTAGAAGTTACTGAAATATTTTCTATGTGAACAAAAGTAAACTTTTTGGTTAATTAGTCCACCTAATAAAAAATACAAGATATATCAATGATTATATACAGTATAATGGACATTTATCCATGTGTATTCATCTATATCTGTGTTCTACCTTTCCTCTAAACATTTTAGAACTGTGTTCTATCTATCCTCTAAACATTTTAATGGTCACAGTTATTTGAGCAGGAAGGATCATCTAAACATTAAATTGGCTAATAAGCGGAGGAGGTAAAGAGTTATCTAACTATCTATCTATCTGTCTATCATGCATAGTTAAGACTGAGTTAATTCTTAGTTATCCTAATGTTTCTCGCTTACTATAAAACATTTTCTAAATTTACAATATATACTTATTTTTTTATAAAAGGGCATGTTGTTATTGCAGTTATGTCTCTAACTTTACAATGATATCAATACGCTTGCTGTGCCTTACTCTAAGATTTTGTATCTGTAGTCAAAAAAAGTACACGTAGAAAAAGTTATTATAAACCGACATATACCGATCCCATATACTGCAGGGGTTCATTACTGTACACAGTCACCACAGTGAGCAAAAAGACTGCTGCAATTGATTTTAACCACACAACTTTAATAAACATCAAGAATGAGTGGGTTTAAAAAAAAAAAAAAAATGAATACACAAAAGAAACCATACACTGTACTATGTATTTGCTGGCCCAGTTATAAAATGAGAACAGTCCTTCTGAAGACACTAATCTTTCTTAATAAGCATCCACCAGGAATAGGATCCTACTGTGAAGAAATGGAAATCTTAAGTTTTTCATGCTACCAACCCCATGGAGTTCAATTCAAGCTCTGTTTAATCTATAAAAATCAATATTGAGTATATGTGCTATAGGATCGTTCCATCTAAAAGTATCTGGTTGGAAATATAGGACGGATACAATGGAGCAATGAAGCACGTGTAATTTATCCGACAAATCTAAAGCACTCCATCATTGATTTTTTTCAGTTTGCAAGTCACTGAGCAGAGAAAGAAAGGATCTTATTTAAAAATACTTGGGGCTACCTAATGTCCGGCATTCCTGCCCTCTGGTTCCGATTGTCTTTTTGTTACCTTTTTTTTTCTCTCCGTTTTATAGGTCATCTCGACGTATTTTCTAATGCTACAAACTGTTTACTTTCACGGCAGAAACATAATGGCTTTTAAAGCATCTAGTGGCAGCAAGAAATTATTATTTTTTTTTCCCCCTGAAATCACAGTCAACATACCTATGGAGCGTTTTAATGTTTAAACATTTCTTTCTGCATGCTGCTAACTTGAAAGAAAGACTGAAAAGAAAATTGTACATATCCAGAAGGCAGTGTTTTTTTTTCATAACATATTAAAGTGTGCAATTCAGTGACTGGAATAATGGCACAGAGATACCAAATCTCGCACCGTAATTACAACTTCGGAAATCGTTATTAAAATGAGACATAGAAATATTTCCAGTCGGAAGTAATTGGAGTTATTTAAAAAATAAAAATAAAAAATAGAGACATGTTTTATCACAACAAAAAAACAAGAATATGCTTATTTCATGGGATGTTCCATAAATGGATGAAATAAAGAAAATACATTTATGTTTTTATGAAGATATACTCACATGAGATGTATGTGTATAAATAAATAAAGAAAGGTGTATAGAAATATATATATACATGCATACATACAAGTATGTTATTTTTCTAGTTTTGCAATACACTGAAAGGTCTACATATTGTGTATTTTTTTAGTAATTTTTACACCATCCTATTTTATATGTTATTGATGCGAGAAAACTTCTCATTTTATCCTTTGTTGTGTATATGCATACGTATAAATATGAGATCACCCTTTCATTTACTCACAAAAAAAAAATATAATGATTTTAATGCATTAATATATGTCCTGATATTCTGCAAATGCAATATTTTCTCATTACCATTTTAAAATCCAGTGTAAGCGATGAAGACATGATGTATAGGAATGCCATCTAAAGCTTGCAATTGAATTATTCACAAATAGTATCTTACTGAGAGTATGAGTAAAGTTTATTATTGCAATGCAATTCCTACCATTACCTCTGATTTTTTTTGTGTCTGTTTGAAGCCCTGTAATTCATGCTTAAAGCATCTTTTGTTATTCTAGATAAAAGAAAAAATGTTTGCAGGTATGTTTGTATTCTATTTTTTTTCCCTAAGAAAAGCTCGTTTAAGCACACATTGTTATATTTCATAAACATGTAAACAAATTCAAATGCATAGTGTTAACAGTGAGTTATTATTGGATTTTCCTTTGTTAATGCCCGAAAGATTCACAGGATACCAAAGAAAATAATCTGTAAATCGTCTCCATTGTATCAGAAAAGACCTATTGGCAGAGCATCAGCTCTTGAAAAACTATAATTCCCATCATCCTAGGGGTGAGAAGAGATCACAAGAACCAGCTGGGCACCAGAGCTTCATTTAAAGCAGAATTGATGTCTTACTACACTGTAATGTGGCATAGTATTGATAATTCTATTAAAGGGATGCAGAACTGTGGGTGGTAAGTTATAAAGACATAAAAAAACCTCTGCGGCATGCACGTAAGTGAAGATAATGGTTCCTAAGGGATATTCATAATTCAATCAATGACATTGGACAAAATCCCAGACACAAAAACTCCTCCAGTGTCCTCGATTCGTTTCAGAGCTACACAAGTATAACCAATTCAAAATATAGACAGCTTTTAATGTCTGAGATTTTAGCCAATGTTATTTGGCCATAAGTAGTATTAATGCCAAAAATCTATAACCTCTGCTGTCACATGTGCCTCCGTGTCCCTCTCAGAATCTTTACTAGTCCAATGTCTTATCTAATCCAGGCCAATGTATTTCTTATCAAGGGAGCAAAGTGAGCAATCTGACAATACAGCCTTATCGAATTTTTTCAGCAGAGACCCACATGTCATTCAGCATTCAAAAATACTTGGACTTGATTGATGGATTGGTTTGCAACAAATAAAACTCAGATCAACAGCTCTGCACCTTTTTCCCCATCAGGGACCAGAGTAAAGCATAACTCTGTAACAATGGTAGGATTAAGGATGCATTAGCTCGGCATCGACCCAGACCATCCACTCCCATCAATACTTCCTACGTAATAACCTGAAGCTATGATAAGAAAACAATAGAAAGTGAAAATAGAAGGAGAAAACAAATCGATGAAAGAAGGAAGGTAACGTCTGAGAGATGCTTTGGTCAAAAGGAGAAGAAAATATTTGCTGAACTGCAAGCATAATGTCCCCTGACAAGAAAACAATGCAGTGTCAGAGTTTATCAGTGACAAAAGCCAAATGACAGAGTTGTAAGTAAATAGGTTTGTCTTCTGAGTGCTGCCCGAAAATAACATTGTAATTGCTTAGGACACTATCTATTTAAATAAATAATAGAGAAAAAGAAATGAGGCTTAATTATTTGACAGATATATGTAATTACTCCAATCAGCATTCTTTTTAAAGTTTGCAGCGGCTTGTCACCAATAATAATAAACGGAGCAGCCATCTTGTTTGTTTTTTTTCCACATACTTTTTATAAGCAATGTCAGACTAAGGTCTTCATGTGGCTGGAGTGGAAGACCACCATGCTTTTCTCTATAGAATTTTATATACAATTTCTACATAATCCACTCAGTTCCCTTATAGATTCATACATACACACATACACCACCTCTCCCTAATACATACATTCCCACACTCTGCATCATATATAGAAGAAATCTCTCCTATGTATACACACGTAATATATATATATATATATATATATATATACTCACATATATACACACACATATGCCCATGCAGATTTTTTTTTACATACATACAAAATAGATTTGGCAAAAACAGCTGACGTGCAAACAATTCTCAATTATAGTCACAGTGTGGCTAATTGTTCCTAAATATGCACATATGACGCTCATACATATGTACACTCTACTTTACACATACACTCACTCCCCTTTTTTGCAATTACACACAAGTCCATATTACATATATAATCATGTTTATTTGAATGAGTCACATAGTAAATTGAGATGTCTATCACGGTCTTCAGTGTCAGAGCAAATATATGCCTTTCACATCATTTATGGTGCAATATTTGTAAGAGAATAAACACCTTAAAGGGACAGTGAAGCGGCATTTACTTTCTGGAAGTAATAAGCTATTCATGAAAGCTTCTGATCATTAATATTTAACTGTTTAAGTGTCTTTACAACTGAGTCAGCCCAAGATTATATATAAATCTTAATGATTTGAGCAAATGCATTGTAAAAATTTATTTCCCCCTGACTTGTGTGCTTTTCAGACTAATAATAGGCATTAGAGACCACTCACCACCCTGGTGCATACTACACTCCCCCCACCAAGAAAGAACCAAGCATATGCACTGGGGGATCTGCAGAACCAGTGGACATATGTTTGGTTGCTGATTGATATAAAAAAAGTGGGGTCACCAGGACCCTATAATGTGAGTTGTATTGAAGTATGAACAAAGAATACTATTTTATGTATGTGAATTGATGCCTGACATTTTGGATCAAACGAAACAGTGGATGTCTAAAGAAGGAAGATATATCATAATATATGCTATGCTACATGCTAGGACACACCCAAGAATAGCAAGAATAGCACAAAAAAACAGCTCCTGCACCTTTTTCAAAGCAATTTTGTCTGTGGCAAAGAGCACATTGTGTACATTGTGTAAAGTTGGCTAGGGGGTTCCCATGCCCCTAGGCCACATAGGTGTATACAGAGAGAAAAATATGCCAGCGTAAAACATGTTCAGTGAAATTAATCTGTTAGAAAGTGGACCCTGCACTGTTTTGATTTCTTGGTCACAGTCACATGTGTGAATTATACTCAATCTACACATCACCTAATTCTCACATAATTATCTTCAGGGGAGATGATGAGTTTTCAGGCTTGATTTGTATTGGAACCTACAAATCCCTTATGCCTCTCGGGTATGATACTCATGGAAGCACACTCTGCCACACTCACCCAAAAAAATAGATCGCCTCCACTGAGCCAACTGACACAGGTCAATCGTATGGTGTTGCCACAGACCTGAACATCATCCTGTAAAGATAGACCATCTGCATTTCCATGGGCCTGGCACTGCCTTTTCTGGATGCTGACATATTATGACTGCCAGGCAAGGCACCATCACTCTGTCTGACCATGAATATTTGTTGTGGTTGGTGATAACAGAAAACTGCTGGCTTCAAGCCCAAGGTTATAATTTTGGTTAATAAGGTAATAATTAAGGTTATAAGTGATATAATTTTCTGCTTGATCTGCCTGGTCTAGTAATTGATGGCCGGGATAGGCCCTTGGATACTTCTTTCTTAAGAATGTTTGGTAGTTCAAGAGTGAACAGAAGAAGGCATGAATATGGAGGCATCTATGGGCACCTGGAGATGGCTACGATCAGGAGCAGCAAGGTTGGGGGAAATGTATTAACAGGGGGGCCTTAACAAAGTAGAATGCATCAGTATGTTAACTGATCCACTGCCTTTATAGGTCTGCCGGTTAGCCATCCTACTTTAAGAGAGAAGAACATTTCTGTAATACTTCAAATTTCAACAAAAATGTTTTGTTTTTTTCCCTTGGGTTAAGTTCATGATTGTGCTTTTTTCTGTTGTATGAGGTTTTAAAATATATCACAGTGACCTAGGATTGTGATGCACTTTGTGCCAGAATAGTTTTCTAGAATATCTTTAAAACAATGCCTGGCTTATGAATCCATATCCATGCTGCCATTAGGCCTCCTGTATTCCATGCAGAACACGCTGGTAATATCTTTTTTGGGGGTAAACATTTCTGGTAATACCAATGGTCAGGATGATGTTTGTATTATCTAGGGCATCTCAATAATCACGAGCTTTGTGGTGCATCACTTAGTGTATACTGCTTCAGGCACCGACGACGTTTACTGCTTGTTTAGCTGAGTGGCTGCCCTTATGCCTTGCCATCTTCTTCCATATTCTATTTCTGGGTCTTGAGTTTCACCCTGAGATCATATCAAATCGGTACTACGGTTCTTGTGGGGTCACATCTCAATCAATTATTTGTTCAGGGAATTAAAATGGAGAGGCTTTTAGAGCTACAAACAGCTTTTTCTTGTACTTTCTATTTCAGTTCACCTCATAACCCTTGAAGATTTCCTGATAAAGATTAATTTGTAGGCACTGTCACTGTTTCATCTACTGGCCTTTTGTTCTGATGCATTCCAGACCACAGCTAATCTCATGAGTAGTTTGGACCATACAGTGCAAAGTAACCGTACATGTTTGGGACACAACCTGCTTATATTATATGAACCCTACCAAGATCCCTCAAAGCATGAGTTGCAAGTGATCAACCACAGATGTGGACCAGTACTTTCTTACTTTCATGGATCTTCTGCTACACTGCTTACAAAAAGGGTAGACAACTGAATGGGTAGATCCCTTCAGGTATGATAGACGTTACTGACAGATGACAAATAGTTGTCATTCACAGCCTTATAGTGCTTACGGGGACAGCGATCCTTTTGCAAGTTTATTTTAGAAACTGTTTAGTAATTTTTTCTAGCTGATAACCTTTAATTATCCTTTAAAATAATGATGTGCTCAAAGACCAAAAGGGCACCGTATAGCTGTAGTCAGCAGATATCTTAGCTAGCACTGTCTGTTCTTAGCTCCAAAAAGTTGAAAGGATGATTATAAAGGTATCTTGTTTAGCCTCTGATTCATAGGCAACATATGTCTTTGTCCTAGCTTAAACCTTAACTATTACATCAATGAGTCTGTAATATATACTACCATACAACTAGAAAGTATATGTATAAATTAAAAAAATAACAATCCATTACTAAGTAAGCTTTTAGCCTTTTAGGTTGTTATAACTGTAGACTCAGCCACCACTTGTACAACTAGGAAAACAATCTTGATTGCTGGGAAAAGCACTCTCAACTTTACCAGAGAAAGGAACAAAAGCTCTATGTACAAAAGGAGGGTAAAGATATAAGACATACACACAGTGGATTGGAGATTTTTTGAGACATGAGAAAAGTGAGTGTCAGTCCACCTGAGCAACCACTAAGCAGGGGAGGGAATTTGCATTTTGATATACACAAAGTTATTTTATTTGCTACATTTGGGTGACTTGGGCCTAATTCATTTTATGGCATAACACACGAACTGCAGAAAATTCAATATTAATCTTATGTTATCCAAGGCACCATATATTAAATATTGCTCATATAGATTTTCTCATGATGGAAAATCAATTTAGCAGAAACTTCCAATCAATAACAATAAAAACTAAGGCGGTGAAAGTGAGACCAATAGCAAATAGCATTAAAGTTAAAAATATGATAACTTCTTTCCTTTCAGTTTTAGATTTAGATGTACGTGTTTATATTCAACTGTAAATCATTTCACATAAGATAAATATATCCTAGAACTTAACCACATAACCCCTAGTGCTACAGAAGAGTAATGCCTTGAGATAGACAACTTCCATCATCTCCTTCTCCTCCACTGAGCGGACTTCAAGGAAGATGGAATTTCTATGTCAGTTCAAACGTTTCTCTTTATGGTTAATGGTTTAAGATGATCTGCTGCTTAATGCATGGTTCCTGCACTAATTCTACGTTTAGATCCCCACAAGAAACTGGTAAAATAATTCAAGGGTTATTAATTTGTAATATTATAGGCAGTTTACATTAATAATGGATAAGTGACATCTATATTTCAGATGATAATCCTATATTAAATTCACTCATCCTAAAATCATCTTCATGGCAGCTCATGCTTAAAATTATAAATGTCTCCTTAGTATTTTATGTAACGCAAAACTAAGTACTATCATTTAATGTTTAATCTTTCATTGAAACATGTTGAATTGGTGCTTGTGAATTCAGCGCACTTCCACTGTCTTGCAGGATGGTTATAAGTAATCTTTCAGAACGTGTTACAAACCAAAGACCAGTCTTGATGAAGGCTCTTGTGAGAGCTGAAACGTTGCTAGTGGAGCTACTCTTGACTAAGCTTTGCCAATAAGTTCCAATTTTTTAGTGTGTAACTTCTCTGTTCTCTTATGGAATAATAATACATATGGCCTAATAAGTGTTGTACTACTGAAGCCACACCAGGATGTAGAGTTTGGATAACATTGGTTCTTACAGACAGACAGTCTTGATACCTGTTTTTAGTGACTAAAAACTAGGAATAACCCAAGCGCTATACATGTGCTTAATAAACATAAGTAAGGCGTTATAGAAAGTAAACCTATTATGGAAAAATTACCTTATCTGAAATTGCTCCCATATACATTGAATACACCATATATCACACAGATACATCGTGTATTCAAAGTAAAATATAATGATTTGCTCACTTTTCCTCTGTTCCAGCGCAGCTTTGTGGGTGTTACTCCAGACTGTCCTCTGCTCCGTTGCGCTCCTCCTGCAGACTTCTTTGATCTGCCCTGCTTGGGATGTATCCCGAAGCAGGGCAAACCTCGTCAGTGATGTCGGCATGCAGGATTCATTGTAAGTGTGCCGGCGGAACGGAGCTAGAAGCTCCGGCTAAGGAGTTTCCCCAGCGCATGGGTGGAGAGCAGAAGGTCCTCCTGTGGGAGGCCTTTTTGCTCTCCCTTGGCATGCCAATGCATTGACTGATAGCTGGGAGAAAAAACATTTTAAAATAGTTTTTTTCTCCTAATCTATACAATTACTAGCAAAACTGCTAGCATAATGTATAGGTAAAATTGTATGCTCAATCTAATGTGCATAAGTTGTTTGGTACATGACAGGTGCCCTTTAATATTTAACCAGACTATTTTCTGCTAGTATAGAATATGAATTAATATAAAAGAACAAGTCACTGATAGATTTAAAGGGACACTCCAGACACCTAAAACATTTCACTTTGCTGAATTGATTTAGGACTTAAATAGATGCTCCTTTTGTCCCATTTCATGAAAATGCTAATTTCAAGAGAAACCGACACTCTTATGAATTAATTAAGGAGCACCCCTCCTGGTAGTCAGGCGTGGAGGGCTTCGTAATTCCCTTTGCTTGAAAGGTCTCTGAAACAGAATTGAGAGCTTCCATAGGGAATTATTAGTCTAATGCTTCCAGAAGAGAACTGTTCTATTAGTCTTTCGCCACATTTGATTGGTGCATTTGTGGCAATGGCTGCGCATGCACCAATTTTGTCCAGACAGGAAACGAAAAAGGCCTTTGGAGAAAAGGGCGAATTATCTTTATTTTTTTTCATTTTTTTTAACATTGTAATCTGGAAGACTTTAGTAGATAGTCAATCATAGACCATTCATACCATCTCCATTTCGCACTGTATTTTCCCTGAAATGTGATTCGGGTATCTCAGAGTCACTCACTCTATGTAAATATGAACTGTACCTCAGAGTAACTATGAATATAATTATGCATACCTGGACAAAACTTCCTGTAGACAGATGTCAATAGAGTAGCTATAGCCATGATGAATCAAGGTTGTGCCATCATGTGTAAAAATGAGAATTGGTTCATGTGATCAAAATATAATGTTGCCTATTTATACATCAATGATAAGACTCTACCTTGAATATGCTGTGCAATTTTGAGCAACAGTTTTCAGGAAGGATATTGCAGAACTAGAAAAAGTGCAGAGGCAAACTATAAACGTAATAAGGGGAATGTAGAACATTAGTTATGAACAAAAGCTAGAAAAACTGAATTTGTTTTGTTTAGAAATAAAGAAGCCTAATGGGGGATATGATAGCACTATACAAATATATACACTCTGTTCCAAGTGTCGCAAAGATTAAATATTTTGTTTTTCAGTTTAACCCCTTAAGGACGGAGGGCGTACTATTACGCCCTGCAGGAGCCGGCTCTAAACGCCGGCGGGCGTAATAGTACGCCCTCACTTTAATGGCCGCCCATGTGGCCGGCGCTATTCGCCCGCTGCAGATCGCGGTCGGGGGGGATGCCCGGCCCCCCAGGCAACCCCCCCTGTGGCCGGTGACCGCGATCTGCAGTCACTGATCGCAGTGACAGGCTGTCACTGCGATCAGTTTTTTAACGTGTGTCAGCCGATTTCAAATCGGCTGACACACGTGGCCAGCGGCTACCCCGTGCAGATCGCGGTCGGGGGACTTACCTGGCCCCCCAGGCAGTCCCCCTGGGGTCAGTGACCGCGATCTGCTAGCTCTGAGATCGCAGTGACAGGCTGTCACTGCGATCTCAGAGCGCTCTGATCGCAGTGACAGCCTGTCACTGCGATCAGTGTTACATGTGTCAGCCTATTGGCTGACACATGTAACTGGCACAAGGATCCCCCTGCAGATTGGAAGGGGGGAGTGCTTGTACCACCCAGGCACTCCCCCCTGTGGCCAATTACCCAATCTGCAGGAGGTGATCACAGTGACAGCCAGTCACTGTGATCACTGATCCTGTGTGTCAGCCAGTGATGTAAAATCACTGGCTGACACTGTCTCTGCCCCCTGTCCTGTAAAAAAATAAAATATTAGTAAAAAAAAAATTACAGTTACATATAAAATATACTTAGATCATATATATTATATATATATGATCTAAGTATATATATATATATATATATACACACACACACACACATTTACACATACACGAAGTGTATTTAAATATTAATATATATAATTATTTATATATATTACTATCAAATTACACGTAGACTAATACTGATTAAATATATATATATAATTATTGTTATATATATATATATATATTTATATATAATATAAAAAAATGTAAATACGTAAAAAAAATAAAATTAAAAAATAATTAAAAATAAATAATAAAAAAATATATAGATGTTTGTTATTTCGTTCTAACTGTATTGTGATATTAATATATATATATATATTTATATCAAAATACACGTAGAACGAAATAATATATATATCTATATACATAAATATATACATATATATCACTAAATATATACACCTATATATAAATAAAAATATTTAAAAAAATTATATATATGTATATATACACATATGTATATATATACATATATTAATTCTACACATATATTTATGTAATATTTTTACATAATTAGGTATCCTAATTAATTACAATTAGCGGGACCTGCCTGACAACCCATGCCGAAAGTATAGGGAATTTAATTTGCTAGCACTATATTTAACCCTATAACTTTCCAAGACACCATAAAACCTGTACATGGGGGGTACTGTTTACTCGGGAGACTTCGCTGAACACAAATATTAGTGTTTCAAAACAGTAAAATGTATTACAACGATGATATCGCCAGTAAAAGTGAACGTTTTTTGCATTTTCACGCACAAACAGCACTTACACGGATGATATTATTGCTGCAATACTTTTTACTGTTTTGAAACACAAATATTTGTGTTCAGCTAAGTCTCCCGAGTACAACAGTACCCCTCATGTACAGGTTTTATGGTGTTTTCAAAAGTTACAGCGTCAAATATAAGGCTTGTGTTTCATCTTTTTCACATTAAAATTTGCCAGATTGGGTACGTTGCCTTTGAGACCCTATGGTAGCCCAAGAATGAAAATTACCCTTATGATGGCATACCATTTGCAATAGTAGACAACCCAAGGTATTGCAAATGGGGTATGTCCAGTCTTTTTAGTAGCCACTTAGTCACAAACACTGGCCAAAATTGGCGTTTTTTGCATTTTTCACACACAAACAAATACTAACGCTAACTTTGGCCAGTGTTTGTGACCAAATAGCTACTAAAAAAGACTGGACATACCCCATTTGCAATACCTTGGGTTGTCTACTATTGCAAATGGTATGCCATTATGGGTGTAAATTTCATTCCGGGCTACTATACAGTCTCAAAGGCAACGTAACCAATCTGGCGAATTTCAATTTCAAATGTAACGTGCTATATTTGACCCCGTAACTTCCCAAAACGCCATAAAACCTGTACGTAGGGGGTACTGTTTTACACGTGAGACTTTGCTGAATACAAATATGTGTATTTTATTGCAGTAAAAGCAAACCGTATTATGACACTGACCGTTAAAATGTCATGTAGAACTAAAAAAATATAAAAAAATCTTATGTTCTCCCATTTTTTTCATATTAAATTATGTTTCATAGCTAAATATTTGATATTAAATGAAAGCCCTGTTTCCCCTGAATAAAATGATATCTAATAAGGGTGGGTGCATTTACTATAAAAGAGGTGTATTACGGTTGGACAGACATGTAGCGCAAATGCCAGGTTTTGTTTACATTTTGTTTCGTTCACAACGTGTACATTTGGCTCCGTCCTTAAGGGGTTAACTCAGGGATGGCACTGTGTCTCAGGGCTCTTTTGATCACTGAAAACAATCTCGGACACCTGTGATAATTAGATTGCCAGGTGAGCCCAATTTAAGGAAAAACTACTAAAGGAGGGTGTTCCACATTATTAAGCAGAGCACCATTTTCATGCAATATGGGGAAGAAAAAGGATCTCTCTGCTGCCGAAAAGAGTGAAATAATTCAATGCCTTGGACGAGGTATGAAAACATTAGATATTTCACGAAAACGTAAGCGTGATCATCGCACTATTAAGAGATTTGTGGCTGATTCAGAGCACAGACGGGTTCGTGTAGATAAAGGCACATTGAGGAAGATTTCTGCCAGATCCATGCATCGGATCAAGAGAGAAGCTGATAAAATACCATTACATAGCAGCAAACAGATATTTGAAGCTGCTGGTGCCTCTGCAGTCCCATGGACATCAAGGTGTAGAGTCCTCCAGAGTCTTGCAACTGTGTATAACCTTCTATTCGGCCACCACTAACCAATGCACACAAGCAGAAATGGCTGCATTGGGCAGAAAAATACATGAAGACTAATTTTCAAACAGTCCTGTTCACTGATGAGTGCTGTGCAACCCTGGATGGTACAGATGGATGGAGTAGTAGATGGTTGGTGGACGGCCACCCTTTTCCAACAAGGCTCTGACGTCAGCAAGGCGGTGGTGGAGTCATGTTTTGGGCCGGAATAATGGGAAGAGAGCTGGTCTGCCCCTTTAGGGTCCCCGAAGGTGTAAAGATGACCTCTGCAAAGTATGTGGAGTTTCTGACTGACCACTTTCTTCCTTGGTACAGAAGAAAGAACTATGCTTTCCGTAATAAAATCATCTTCATGCATGACAATGCACCATCTCATGCTGCAAAGAATACCTCTGGATCAATGGCTGCTATGGGGATAAAAGGAGAGAAAGTCATGGTGTGGCCTCCATCCTCCCCTGACCTCAATCCTATTGAGAACCTTTGGAGCATCCTCAAGCAAAAGATCTATAAGGGTGGGAGGCAGTTTACATCCAAACAGCAGCTCTGGGAGGCTGCCCAAAAACTCACAAGTTCAATGGATGCAAGACTTGTGAAGCTGCTATCAAATAAGGGGTCCTATGTTAAAATGTAACGTGACCTGTTAAAATGTTTAAAAAGTTAAAATGTTGTTATAAGTTTGATTGAAATAGCTTTTGATTACAGTAAATATGCTGCAAACACAACAAATTACAATTTTCAGTTCTTTACAACCTATCAAGTGTTTTGAAACTTACTGTGCATAATAATTTGGAACAGTGCATTGTAAGTTTTTAATGTTTAAAAAAAAATACTGTTATCATTAGGAGGTTTGTTCAATAAAATTTGAATTGTACTCTTAATAGTTGATAACATGAGAATTATGCTGACTGTTATTTACATCAATTATTTAGGTAAATGAGAAAAATATAATTTGCATAATAATTTGGAACAGGGTGTACAAGGTCAGTGTAAGGTAGTGGGTGGCCAGTGCTGTATACACATAACAGATAAGACAGGTGATGTTCAATCAACTGCTATATGCTAACCCATTCATCAGCAGGTATAAACAGACACGAAAGAGTTCACCCATTGAGACTGGAAGAAAGGTGTTTTCACTTACAGCAAAGGAAAGGGTTTTTTACAGTAAGAAAAAAAAAAGACATGGAATTATCTAGCTAAATAGATTGTCTTATAAAATTATATAGCTTTTCTTTTTTTAAAAAGGCCTGGATGCTTTTTGCAAAAACAGAATATTCAAGGATATGATAAATATTCATGTGAACAGGTTGCTGATACAATATGAAATCTGACTGTCATTATGGAGTCAAGAAGAACTGTTGCCCCCCTTTTTGTGGTACAACTAGAAATCACTACAAGTGAGATTTTTTTTGCCTTTTCTGGAACAGCATAAAGGAATAGGTTTTTAAGGTTGAACTTGATGGACTCAAGTCGTATTCCAACACAGATCACTATGTAACTATATAACGAAATGTTTAAATTGATATTGCTTGCTATGATAATTTTAGATATAAGATTTGGAACCCCTTGTCTTTGCCATGAACCACATGGGTTTATTTGCATATGTCACACTATAAATAAGTCTGGGTAAAAATATATAAATTCGCATCACACTTAATTATAGTGGAACAGATATTTTTGCATAGATCACTAAACTGCAATTCCCTCTACATCAGATTAAATCTGTTTATTATAATTAAAATATAAAAGGCATTTGTCTATTTGGTTTGTATTATACTACATTATTTATGAAGCTAGGCAATCCGAGTTATACATACCACTCCAGGGGCCCCATTCTTTTCTCTTTTATTACAAAAATGAATGTAACCTTCATTGGCCACATTATTTTGAAGTGTCAATTATTAATTAACCTCTTCTATTATGGCATTACAGGGAATGGACTCTGCTTTCATTTCTTAACACATTACAGCAATATCCCTTCACCTAGCACTCTCGAATATCAATGAATTCTTATGGATTTCATAGACACGCTCATAATGCAGCTCATCAAAACAGAAATTCAAACATTGCCGTATTAAAAACATTTGTCTATTTTTTATGTTACATTTTAAAATTAGAGACTAGATTTATACACTGGGCATTTAAAAAGTCTGTCTGTCTCTCTCTCGGCCTCTCTATCTTTCTATGTATCTATCTGTCTATCATAATATTAATAAAATAACACATTATAAATTAAAATCTAATTTAATCCATATAATTTATATTCTGCATTGAGAGTTTATGGATGGTGCATGGTAGAAATAATTGGTTTGGAGAACACGCAACAAAAAAATTATAAAATAATCAAATAAATAAATAAATGTAAAAAATAATAATCAAATAATAGAATTCAGTTATTATCAAAAACAAACTGAATTTAATGAACTGTGTTAATGTTCTAAACGATGACCAAGAGGTTAATTAAAGATCATGGAACAAAAATCATACCGTACAAAAATCTAAATCCACCTTTAGGGTTTTTTTTTTTTTATATCCTGGGTTTGGTCAAATTTTAAAGGACATTCAGGACTTAATGTTTTTTTTTTTTTAATCTGTATCTTGTTAACAAGTGCATAAAGTAAAGGAAGCCTGTAATAATTGGCTCGGAGTTACTAACAAATTAATTAACTTCAGTCTATTTTACCTAACGTTAAATAATAAGCATCTTCTTTGGGACGCACACTAAGACTGTCAGTCTGAAAAAACAGTCATGTAGCAAAGCTCTTGAAAATTAATGAGAAATGAGCAAGAATCAATGTACATTCTGCTTGTAGAAAACTGACACAAGACGGAGACAATAAAGAGTGAATAAATACAGTCAGTTTAGAAAAATAGGCTTGAAAAAGTGGGCAAATTCAATTACAGAAGTAATTAGGAGATATAGGGGAAGGCTGCCTTTTGGGATTTTGCCAGAAAACATGAATTAATAAGAGTGAATAGGAAGCCTCCATTCGGTAATTAAGAGGCAATCACCTATGCCAATGAGTACCTGGTGCAGCCTGCACACTATTAATTCAGCGATCAAAAATATTTTTAGATGATTAATACAGCAAATTTGCTTTAAAAGGCCAATTTCTGGAAAGATATCAAGACAATAGCACATTATTTGTCATTCTGGCATTTATATAGCTAATTAAATTTTTACAGTTTTCAAAAACATTCAGAATTATCCGGAACAGTAGAATTAACTATTTAATTCTCACCTTAGAAATCAGATAACATTTTCATGACTATTACATATCTGATCTGTACCAAGATATTTCAGAAGCACAATAAAGCTTTTAAAAGTGATTCCCCACACACATTAATACATCTTTAAATGTATGTTTAACCCCTTAAGGACTAAACTCCTGGAATAAAAGGGAATCATGACATGTCACACATGTCATGTGTTCTTAAGGGGATAAAGATACTAGGTTAAACATATTGTGGATTTTTTCTTCTGGTAGCCAACAAAATACTCTAAATGTCAGGAAGCTTAGGAAGAACACAGGTCAATCTAAATAACACTATATTGATAGTAATATTTGTGATAGTCGCATAAATTGTGCTTTTTTTCTCTTCATTGATAATACTTTCATAGTTTAACCATGCCAATCAAATTATATATCTTGGGTCCACACTCCAATCAGATATGTTTACCCAAGCCATACATGCATTCATTAATGCACTAAATAAATATATATATATATATATATATATATATTTGGATTAAATGGATTTTTTGTTTATATTGAATCAGTTACAAATGTTAACTGTAACTGAAAAATAAAAAAATAAATAGGCTTTCACAGACTGAAAGTGGGCAATACTCCCATCATCATTTGTCTGAAACAGCTGTTTTGTTTTTTTGCCTGGTTTTTGTTTCAAACTGAGAACTGTGGGGAATTGACAAGCAAACTACATTTTTTAGGCTAAAGCAGCTGAGCTTTTAAAAAAATTGACCGACTCAGCTATTTTTCTAGTTCAATTATTTTTGCCTGAAAAATGTAATCTCTTTGTCATTACTCTGCAGGTCACAGTTTAGCGAATAAACCACATTCGGTTATTTTAGGAGGGAGGATCTGCATACACCATGTATTAAATTCCGAAAATAATTATTATTGGCTTTTTAAAATAAAGAGAAGCCAAAGAGTAGAAAGGTGCGAATTGGTTAGTAAAAGGTCCATTGTAAATTATCCGTGGTATAGTTCAGAAAATGTTCTTCTTTTAATTCATGTTTGTCTCAAAATGTTTCCATTTTTATAGAATGTAATTGATCATCAGCTATAAAGCTTTATCTACATCCATACCTTGTTACTGAAGATGTAGTTCCTATGTTTACAGGAATGCCTCATTAAGCTTTCAGATACACTCACCTGTATACACCATGTTAAAGCTGCAGGTGTTTAATGGATGCGGTAATTATATTAGGCTTGGAATCACTTGCAATTTGTATAAAATCCTGTATTAGACATCTTTTCATATGAGATGTATTCATATGTTGTGGTGCATTCTATAATGTAGTATGTAAGATGCACACCTGCATACCATTGGCTTGTTATATGCCTGTTTTAACATAGGCTGCAGATATGGCCCAGATCATACCATTTGTACAGTTTCTTTCTAAAGGAAGAATTTAGACTAGTTTTAAGTACACTGTGATGTTCTATGTGCCTTTAGTAGACCTAAAAGAACACAAGCCATTTTGCAAAAAAAAAAAAAAAAAAAAGGCACAGCATCGTTTGAAATAAAGAACGAGAGGCATCTATTCATAGACTCTTGCAATCTATTACAGAACCTCAAGCAGAGAAGTATGTGAAAGAAAGTGAACAAACCAAAAAAGCAGAGGCATGCTATGAAATCAGTGACAAAGTTAAATCTGCCATTCACTCTATATCAGCTCTCACATCTATCTGTACAGAGCTCGAGAGAAAATTAGAGTAAGAGCCAATGAAAAGGAATATTTAGGAATACTCATAAAACAATCCGAATTTTCAGCAGTAACACAATATAAAAATGTATACAAAATAGTGCAAATGGGTCATCCTTTAAGTGCTGGGAGGAGTAGGTGCACAATAATGATTAAAGTAATCTATGCCAACCAGGAAGCCAAGGGTTCAAATTGAAATGAAAAAGACACATTGGGCCATGTTTAACAAGTCAAAACAGGTGCTGTTCTGGGGCACATGCTAAATACACATGGACAGTCTTTTGGTTTCCATGGCGATTGCTCCTTATTTAGCACTAGATGCTAAAATATTTTTGCTATGATAAATGTAGCACACTAAATGTAAATATGACACTAAAAAACAGTTTAGATTTGTTCTTGCACTTACCCATTATAATTAGACCCCGAAAAATTATTTATACTATTAATAAATTATGTTTTGAGTTAACATGTTTACTATAGGGATATGTATATATATATATATGTATAAAAAAAAACAGAAAAAAAAACACGAGCATACAAACCCCCCACGAGAAACTAGAAATCTAGGCCTATAAGCGCTGTGTATATGAAACAGACCTGTAGGGACAGAAGCAGTATCTTAAGGAGTAATCAGGCAGAATGAGAAGTGGTGTCCAGGCTGATAAAAACTATTTCTGTAGCTGCTGGGGCTCTTCCATCTCTGCCTTTACACTAGACTGAAAACTCTTTGTACTAATTACCAGACTGTACCAGATTTTCTGGTTCAGTTCCATTTCATAATTGACTGACAATAATGGGCAAGGAAGGGGAAAAATTCAGACTCACCACCTCAAGCATAGGATCTGAAGTGGTTTCATAGGGGGCCATCATTGCCTGGCACTAAATGCAGATTTAAGCTACTCTTATCTGCACTTCTTTCCAATTCACAGATTTTAAGACTGAGATTAAAGCGAAGGGTAAGAATAGCATATGTTACAGCAGGGCACTAATTCAATTGTATACTTCCATTACAAAGTGATTATCCTGGAGAAAATCAGCAATGGAAGTTTGACTTTTCAAGAGCTGAAAGATAACGTACCCTGAGCTGCAAGTGATCTGTGAAATGTTACTGCGATTAAAGAACAATATATACTGAGCAAATCATAAACCGTGCCATAATTATTATACAGTATTAAAAAAACCAATGTGGAAATAACAAATATGTAGAATCAAATTATATATATTTAAATTATAATGAACAAAAAACATCAGTGATGTCCCTTGGCAAAATTCCCTAAATGGTTAACAACCAACGACCTGCAGAATTAATTAATAACTGCATATTTCTATATCCACACTATAACAGCTCATCGTGATTGTTGCTTGTGTTTATTTTAACTTTGTTGTGTGATCTACACAGCATTAACCACTGCAACACAGAGGGATGCAGCTGGTCCTGCCATTTGGTTGCCACTGTTTACACTTAGATTCCAAGTGTTCTATTCTGTTCGTACTGCTGTGATGTCATGCATGTGATGTCAAGTGTCATGAATAATATTAGCCAAGATATATAGAAACAAAACGCAGACATGCAATATAAGAGCATTACATTCTACAGTTTTGTAACTTGTTACAAGCATTATAATGCTCAGTGATATGAACAAGCATACGTTTGTGTGTACATTCATAAATACACTTATATATATGTACACAAACAATATATTTCACTCTTCCCATCATTCCCAGTGGCCTCTCTGGTATGTGAGTACAAGTTACATTGCTTGCTTATGATGCACGCATACCTCAATAAAACTTCCACGAGCCACAGGACAATATGTAAGCATTGCATCAATACTTTCCCACTGTTAACTAGTGACATGCCAGATAAGTTCAGAAAAAGCTTACCTTACAGTCATTGGACAATATTTTCTCTTTGTAAGGCCTACAACTGCTCCCAAGTCCAGGGACTTTCCCAGAAACTGTAGCCAAACAGGTGAAACAATATTGATAGGCACAGGTACCTGAGAGAAGGTAAACTATGAGAAAGAGCAGAGCAAATGAACAAAATGTCTTCTGTCTCCACAGTCAGACCTTGTGCATGAGGAGTTAGAAATGCTCTGGCTATAGACTTTGTCCAAAGCTGTAGTTCTTTTTTTTTTTTTTTTCTTTCTTAGTGAAGGAAGATTAGTTCATAGAAAACTCAACAATACAGCACTGAAACCCATTGTTGATATTCAACATTTTTCACATAGCGGAACAGAATAGACAATACGGTATCTAGGAAACCGCGGGCTGGATTACAGACTGATGATATCTCGTCATTCTGGAGGCCTGTAATCCTTTTTATTACCTACCACAGCCAAAAGAGCAAAACCTAAAATCAATAACAGTTGCAATACATTAAAAAGAACATGAGATTAATTAAATTAAAACTGTTAATGGAAATTGTAATAAGTGAAAAATAAATGACAACAGATCACAATGAATGTATCTACAGTAAGTTATAACATATAGCACTGTTGTAAATTATAACAGATTAAGAATAAAAGAAGGAATTTTTATTCCGTTCTATGTCCCGATCAATATGTTAACAGGTTAGGTTTTAGCACAATTTTACATATATACTAAATATAATAAACATACCGCTGAAAGTAGAAAATATACAACACTTAACAAAACGTTATAATAACATGTTTAGTATAAACACTTATTTAACATCAGAAGCAATTCAAATTTGAGGTGTATATGATTTGTACAAACACGTTTTAGTGAGATCATAACAAGATGCATGAAACTTACTAATGAAGAATTAATAAAACGTTGTGATTTTTCTCTGATTTTATAACAAGCACAACATAATCAAATAATGAAAATCCCAAACTCTTAAGGTTAGATGATATCATTATTTATCTATTTATGTTTACTTTTCCAAAGTTGTAGTCTCTCATTACAATCCTTAAAATCCAGACCCCATTTTTTCCCAAAAACACAAAATAGTCCAGATAGCCCCAGACATTATTGTTCCAGCCAGCCTCTTTTCAATGCTTCTGCAATTGACCAATTGACAAGTGACTGATGGTTATCTTTTCACTCCAACAATGAGAGAAATTACCATCACTATTGGCTATGTACAGTAAATGCCTCCAGAGTAAATTACATGATTCTAAAATTCTTCTTTTTGCTGGCTCGGTACAACATTCACACACACACAAAAAAAAAAAAAGTTTCTTTCTGTGTGTGTGAGTGTGTGTGCTCGTCTGGCTTCCTGTACTGCAGATTTGGCCTTTCCTGTCAAACATAGAATAGAACTTGACAGCTTCTTTAAAAGAGGAGCATAAAGGGACTTTAATGAGGGATGGCACTGGGCTATTCGTAAGCCTCTATTCTTTTGCGATTGGCTATTCTATCCAAAGAAGGGAAAAAAAAATAGGAATGTGAGAAAAGATAAGCTGTACAGGAATACTCTAAGGGACACTTTCAATGACCTTCAGATTCCACTTCAACCTCAGCCGTTATAATATTTTCCATAAAAAAAATTAAAAATCCTTCTGTATCAAGAAAGTGAAATTACTGCATACGGTAAGAAGCTAGGTTACTTGCCAAGAACAAATTTAATTCGATACAGTACTCTAGAAGAAAATTAAAATGAAATCCATAAAAAAAAAAATGAAAGACATTCGTTAAGATGTGGGTAATCTTTTGTATGGAAATATAAACTGAATACATACACCATTTATTCATTTTTTCAAGGTATCGAAATATTTCTTATGTGTTCTTCCCATTATTCAACCGTGTAGTGCAGTGACTTCTTGCATTCTTCTGGCTGCCCACCAAGATTAGTGGGAGTTACAATACTGGGCAGTAGATTATATTTTCAGGTGCCTGATGATGAAATACTCCTGATCATGATATGCTGGAAGAGGGGGTGAGCAGACATTCAGTATGATTCTGTCTTTCCAGCTTCTCTCTCAGTATACCATTACTGTGTAAACGGCTGATTTAATGGTGGCAGGTGCAAATAGTCGGGACAGTTTAAATCTTGTTAAAACTAAAAAAAGTTTATATATATAAAACAAGAGGGGCTTGTAATCCAGGGAAAAATTGTATAAAGTGAAAAAGTGATCAGCACTCTCGGGCTTTAGAAAATTAAAACTTACAGTTTATTGAAATTCCATTTAAAAGATCAACGTTTCACTTCCTATCTGGAACTTTCATCAGGATCCTGGTTTTTGATCCTGATGAAAGTTCCAGATAGGAACTGAAACGTTGATCTTTTAAATGGAATTTCAATAAACTGTAAGTTTTAATTTTCTAAAGCCCGAGAGTGCTGATCACTTTTTCACTTTATATATATATATATATATATAATTATAATATATATATATATATATATATACATACACACACATTTGATTTCAAATTATCACGATTTGCTTGAAATCTTGAGCTCCGCAAATATATTTATAGTTATATGAACAAATCATGAAACAAATAAAAAGAACAATTAATTAAACTGTTCAATTTGTTTTGTGATTTGGAGTTCTGTTTTTATGGAAAAAAAGATTGATTGAGATGAGACGATTGATTGAGATGATTGATGAGTAGGCTTGGCAGAATTTCGGAACCAGGGTTCCAATTGCAGTTCAGCCCAAAACAAACCTATAAGTCTAATATATAAACATATAATATCATTTTTTTACTGGTCCTCCTCTTATTCTCTCTATTGTTTACTTCTCATTTGATTTGTAAACCAAATGGTGGGAAAATGTATCTTTCAGTGTACAGCAAAATATATACATAATATTTATATTTTGCAGTACACTGATTAGCCAGTTTTCCTGCCCAGCTGATCACATGGATGAAATTCAAATGAAAAACCACATGGATCAAACCCAAGTCGGCTGAAACCATTTGTTATTTGGACAAATCGATTTGGAAGAACCATGTTTTGATCTATATAAATATGTTTATAATATGTATAAACCATTCCCAGAGTAATCAAATACATATTTTTCAAAAACCACCAAAGGTAGAGGTGCTGTTCACTAAAAGCCAAAAATTGCAATTCGGACCAAATTGTTTATTTGTTCTTTAACCTTATTGTACAAATGAAAGGCATGATAATAATTCTAAAATGTTAATTACAAAAAAAAAGCCAAGAATTGTAAATAAAGTTTTTAAAATTGCTATAACATTAACACATTCAAAGTGTACATCTAACTATAGCCTACGAAGGATGCTACCAATGCATGCTGTTTTTACACCTCGTACTTAGTCATAGGTAGGGAGCCTATAATTGCATTAATATACCATAGAATGAGTGCCACTTTAACTATCTTATCATCTTGCTTTAAGTACTGACTATACTATAAACACTTCATTATCTTTTTGCATAAACTAATCTGTGCTTTGCCAGCATTAATCAATTGCCACATATATTATGCATTCAGAGGTCATAGTCGCAAATAGTAACCGATATATTAGTTGGTTATATGGAAGATTTTATGGATTATATACCACTAAAATAGGTTTTATAAATGCTTACTTGGGATTAATGACATTTAGATATTTGACTATCTAGCTATTTACTACATGTAAGTGTAGTGTGCATCTGTTAGTCCTGCACACGGATGTTAAGTTACAAAAATACCTTGAGCCTACAGAAAAAACTCTGTGAACCTCCACTGTACCACACAAGGCCCATCCAGTGTCAACATCGCCCTGCCCAACCTAGCTTCACCATCTCTCTACTTCACCTCCACTCTTGTATGTGACTGATTCTGCCAAGCTTATCATGTTGCTATCAGCTGTAGATTGTCATCTGAAGGGCAGAGAGTAAATTTGAGAATGACACAACAAGCAGCAGGCTTTTAAAACAGGCAGATGCACTAAACAATATAAGTGAAAAAAATATGTGAAAGAAAATGAAATTATGCCACCCTTCCATCACTTCCCAAAATTATTTGGGGCTTAGAAAACCTGCATCCAGGGCTTTAGATCTTTTAAACCCATCCCTAACAATGTCTGTGGTATTGGAGTTGTTTCTATTGAACATTTTCTATTAACGGGGAAATAGGTGTTTGCATAATGTATGCAATACATAGAAGGTGTCCAGTTTATGGAGATGGCCTGAAAAACACGTAGAGCAAGGCAATTCACCTATCAGTAAGGTTTGAGCTCCAAAACTAAATCACTAGAATTCAACCTGCAAATGTGATAAGCTAAATGGTGATCAAAGGATGAACATTAGAAAGCCAAACGCTAATGCGATATAAATTGACCAGTCCAAGACACAACGTATGTTACAAAGTGTATGCAGTCATAGAACATATTACAGGGCCTAGTAGAAAACATGGTACATGGTAATAATTGGATAAGTCACGTAGCTGAAAGGCACTCAAGCTTGTCTGTAACAGGACTGGGCATATTGGACATTGTATTAAGCATCAAACACAAGAAGGATGAGCAACAAGGAATCATGGACTTTATATCAATGTTTCAATAACTGGAAAAGTTGGGGATATATACATTTAGAGAGTGGGTGCTAGTACTGTAATTAGCGAGACAAGTTGTGCTACACTAGCAGGTGGTGTCATTCAACAGGTATTTCAAAGATTTTTAGGAAATTTGGGGGATGATACCGGTTACAAACATGTGGCAGGAGAAGTTACATATGAGTAAATAAATCACTGAACGCAAAATACTGTGGCGTTCCCGAGTTCCCTGAACAAGACTAGGTTCAATTTCTTACTTTTACATTGTTGATGAGTGATAGTGATAGTTATCTGTTAGAAACACTGTTCACTTGCTGTTTGGCTATTGTTGCTTTATCCTGTCCTACTTGCAGTGTTTGGTCTCAATCTAATCTATCTTCGTTCATTCAAATCCTTGTTGGCTCAGCGCCAAATGTTTCTTTCCGGTCTTGCTACCTGCATGGGTTTCTTTAGAAATGTATCTCTTCTCTGATTTATAATCTGAATATCTGTGTTCATGTAGCAATTCCTTTGTGTTCTTCCCAAACTGCCAGATACTGTTCACATACAGTGTGCTTAAACATAGTTGGAATAAGGACTCAAGCTTTAACGCCTCATAAATTCCCATATTTCAGAGGCATTTGTTTTACATATCTACCACCTGTTTGGAATTTTTCAAACCAGTCCTGATATTTTTTTCTACTTCTGGGGATGTCATAGCAAAGTCCCCCAAAAGTGCATAATTTGCATAATTTCAAGAGGCCACATTTGGGTGTGTGATTGTTGGTGTGGTTTTAATTAATGGCCAGCATAATGTCTAATTAATTTTTGTCTGCATTAATGCCCAACATAATATGATGATATTTGATGATAACCTGCATTCTGCTTTAGTGTCTCTAGTGTCCCTAGTAATACAGAATCCCAACCCCATCTTTCCCATATACAACAAACAAATTAAAAGTATGGTTTCTACTTATCATTATTCAGAACCGAAGCTTCCTTGCAGTTGCTCGCCTCAACACCTCCTGCAACATCATGGAGGAGTCATTGCTTCCTCCGATGTGGTCCAATTCAATGCAGAGCTGATGCAGATGCACCACGAGAGTCTCACTCATATTCAAATGCTTCTCATAGGAAATCATTGAAAGAGTTTCACTCACTCATTGTATAGGAAGTCCATCTAGCGTCAGGAAAACAACCACTAGAAGAGTGTTTTTAACCCTGCAATGTAAACACTGTGGTTTATACAAACTAACGTTTTAATTGCAGGGTTATAACTAAAGGTTCACTGCACCCAAGCCACTTTATTGAGATGAAGAGATTTGGTAATGTTAGTGGTACTTGAATTAATACCATAATAGCTATTTAGAATTTCAGTAAGTGTACGGTATCAGGCATGCTATATGAGTGAAGATTTCAGTGGATACATGGATGAGTGGTTACCTATAGATTTATGGATTCCCGGAATGCGTTATTACCCAGCTTAACCACTTCTTTGGCTATTATACATGCCTCTTTATAACTGACCTGTACCATGGCTTGAGGAATTCTGGGTTTCATGGAGAGTGGGACGTTTTTCCACTAATCTGACCGTGTGGTTATGGCATTGTAGCAGCGTATCATAGTGGTTATAAATCTGTGGACTCCAACCCACCATTTTCTGTCAAACCATATTAGGGAGCTGGGAAAGCCCTGAATTCGTCAAACAGATTAAAATGTTTGGACAGAAAATTGCCCATATGTTTTTGTACCATATACTTCTAGAATTATAATCACTACAACAAGATGTGGTGATCATGTGTTTAGAGGGTTCTTTGCAATGCAACCCTGCGTCATGCCCCTCGATATTATGAAAATCTTCAAGAAGCTATTGTCATGTAAGCTGAATGTTTTGCAAGCACTATGTAGAATTTAAATGTACACACCGATAGTTGGTTTTATTGGTTCATATTCCCCCCCCATCATTTGTATTTTATTGTTTTCGTATAACGTAAGATGGGGTACAGAAAAGAAGAGGGGGGGGGGGGTTTGTCATGAGGTTTCACATGGATGCACAATATAATACAATGACATCACAAGCAATTTTCCAGTTTTATACAGTATGATTCCATTAACATAAATATCCAATTCTACCGTATGCTGTTACCTATATGCCCAGGTATGGTCCCAGCTTTTCTGAGGGGTCAAAAGAAACCCTGAACCCTTTAAGGGATGAAGTCTTAAATTTAAATGTGGGTCCATATGTTTTTAATGACAGGTCCACTATAATTCTTGGGGTAGGTTTTAGGACGTGTTCACAAAGCAATGATTTGCAGTTAAATGAGAAGGGAATGTGTTTTTTAAGCCAATAATTGGATATTTTTCCAAACCATGATAATTTTGCCTAAATTTAGCTATTCCCTTGTTATAGCTTCCTTAGCTCCAACCTCAATTCACTGTTACATAAGCAAACCCCGAAGCGGCAGCATTCTTCTGTACGGCTATGTCAGAACAGGATGCATGTAGCCATTCCATAAGACACATCTGATGCCGCATTTTATCAGATATTCTCAGCTTCAAAAATAGAAAGTGATTGCACTAGCCTTTTCAGAGAGCTGTCATTTCAATTATAATATTAATCAGTCATATCTAAAATACTGGTATCTTGACATGGCCACAGTACCCTATCATTACTGGATCAGATATTTATTTCTGTCCAATCACTTGTGTGGCAGCCAATTATTTTCCGCAAATTGCTGTAAGAGCTACTAATCAGCCACAATCAATGACCTATATTTAAAAAAAAAAAGAAAAATAATAAAAAAAAAATACATTTTCAAGAGATGTCAACAAAGTCTGGCCGCTAAAAAAAGAACCTTTATTTGTGATTTCATGGTATTTTTGTGTGCTTTCAATGTACTTGTTCCTATTAGGCCACAGTATATGAAATAGAGGGCTATTCTTTGAATTGCATTACTTACATATGCTTCTGGATATGTCCATACTTTATTCCTAAACCTATAATAGTAATACTAAGAAGAATAAATCACGACGTAGATTGAATTATTTTCAGGAAATGTGTTACCCTACAAGCTGTATGCCAATAACAGATATCCTCATATAATAAAAAACATGGTATCCCAATATAATAAAAATATATACTTATAGTTAAAAGTATAGTTTAAAGTCAATGACTATGTGAATTGAAAAAATTTAAAACATGTAATATCAAAGTAAGGGAAAAACCATACATCGAGAGAATAGAAAGAAAATATTAATCATTATGTTTAATATTTTGCCAAACAGAATGTGAAAATGGCAATGGTAATTGTGTCTAGTGCTAAACATTCTAAAATATCTCCATGAAATGTATTTGTATTTGTTTAAGGTTTAAATATTTGGGGGACCTGCATCCAGTAAGCTGTTATCTGTGTCTCCCATTATTGTCAGTTAGGCTTTAAATCCTGTACCCCATGCTGTAAAGTGGTACACGATTATTAACAGAACTAAAATATATATAATTTGGCATTTAGCTTTGAAGGTTTTTAGTGGAACGCCTCTCTTGAACAGATGTATACTTGCCTGTTTTATTTATTTTACATCTCATATATCAAGTGTCCTGGTTTAGGAGGGACAGTCCTTACTTATTCAAGGATTCTCTATTGTAGAAACTTAGGCGCCTAAGGTCCCCAATGCATTGGATTGGCCTATCATCCTGGAGGTATACATTCCGCATGACATCACTGAAGGAGGATATCGCACTGAGGAGACTCGGCACTGAAAAAGGGTGAGAAGTTTGTTTTCAAATTAATTATTTTGTTTTTATTTTAAGATTGGGGGGAGGGGGTGGGCCTAATTGTACAGGGGCACCAGGGCTGTAGCATTAGGAATAGAGATATGTATTCCTAACACTACAGTGACATTTTCCAGTTCGGCTATTTTGACCTTAATTTTTTGTATTTCACTTTGAACGGTCACTTCACTTTGAATTGTCACTTTACTCTGTAAGTGTTGTCCAGCACAAAGAGGTAATTTCAGGCAGTATAATGCACTATAAATGTAAGCAATATTATCATCGCCATTTATATAGCACCAACAGATTCCGTAATGCTTTACAATATTCTAAGAGGTATTATAAGAGATTTAACTATAAATAGGAAAATTACAAGAAAACGTACAGGAACGATAGGTTGAAGAGCACCCTGGCCAAACGAGCTTACAGTCTATAGGAGGTGGTGTATAAAACACAATAAGACAGGAAATAGCAATCAAATAAGGTGGGAGTGAAGCAGAGCTGGAGGAGAGAGTAGAGTGCTGCCCTTTAGGAGAGAGCAAGAGACAGGTATGTGAGGTAGAGGTTACTCTGGGAGGCCATAAGCTTTCTTAAAGAGATGGGTTTAAGGCACTTCTTAAACGATTGAGAGTCTGATGGTGGTAGGCAGGCTATTCCATAGGAAGGGAGCCGTGTGTGAGTTGGATGTATAGGTGCGAGCAGCAGACAGGAGAAAGTCACTGGCAGAGTGGAGAGACCAAGAAGGGACATACCTATGGATCTGTGAAAAGATATAAGAGGGGCTAGAATTGGTCAATGCTTTATAGGTATGGGTTAGTACTTTGAATTTACTCCTTTAGGATACAGGAAGCCAATGTAAGGACTGACAGAGGGGTGAGGTATGAGAGGACTGACTAGAGAGGAAAATCAGTCTAGCGGCAGCATTCATTACAGACTTTAGCGAGAAGATCAATTAGGAGAGGGTTACAATTATCTATGCGAGAAATTACTAAAGCATGGACAAGCTCCTTAGTAGCATCTTGCATTTTTAAAATTTTTTTCAAATGTTTTTAAGATGGAATCTACAGGATTTGGTAACATACAGGATATGAGGCTCAAAGGTGAGACCAGAATCAAGTATGAAGCAAAGACAGCGCGCTTGCAAGGATGGACAAATGTGGATACCACTAACTTGATGGGAGAGGGAAAGAGGGGGATCAGTATTAGGAGGAGGAAAGACAAGGAGCTCAATTTTAGAGAGATTGAGTTTCAGAAAGTGGGAGGACATCCAGTCAGAGATGGAAGAAGGTCAAGCAGTGACACGTTGCAGGACGGCAGGGGAAAGGTCCGGGAAGGAGATATATATTGAGTTGTCATCAAGTCTTTCCAGAAGCTTTGAGGAAAAGGGGAGCAGGGATATGGAACGATAGTTAGAGGGGGAGGACGGGTCGAGAGATTTTTTTTTTAGGATAGTTACTACAGTGGCATGTTTAAAGTCAGCAGGGACAATGCCAAAAGAGAGAGAGAGCAGTTGAAGATATATGTTAAGGAAGACACAAGACAAGGGTAGAGAGATCTGTTAAGGTGAGATGGGACAGGATCATGCGGGCAAGTGGTGGGATGAGATGAAATTAGAAGCGCAGCGACCTCTTGTTCAGTAGCCGGGGAGAAAGTCTGAAGGGTATGAAAGGCATGATCTACGTGTAGTTGAGAAAGAGAAAGGCAAGTTGGGAAGAATTCTTTCCTTAGCTGTTAAATCTTGTCGGTAAAGTAGCATGCAAAGCTATTGGCTTTAAGGTTAGTTTGAGGGGTGGCCACAGCAGGGCGAAGAAGAGAGTTAAATGTGTCAAAGAGATGCCTGGGATTGTTGCTGGAGCATGAACTAATGAGAGAGGAAACGTATGACTGTTTGGTGAGGGCAAGGGCTGCGCTGTATGAACACAATATGACTCTAAAATGGAGAAAGTCTCACTGGGTGCGAGACTTCCTCAAGGAGCGTTCATCACAATGGGAGCATCTTTGCAGGTAGCGTGTTGATTTAGTATGCCACGGTTGGGGGGGTGTCCTCCTCGAGGTTCATGTTTGAAATGTGGTTGCAGTATTCAAGGCAGAGGTGAGGGTAGTGTTATATGTGGAGATGGCAAGTGAGGGACAGGAGAGGTAAGGGATGGATAGCAGTTGTGAATCAATATCAGCTGACAGCTGCTGGAGGTCAATAGAATTAAGGTTCCTCCTTAGTTGGGGGGAGTTAGGCTGCTGAGGTTGTTGGGGGAGGGGGTATTATATTGTCATCCACAACTCTCAAAATCCACTTGATGGCAGGTTATAAGACTAGCTATTGTTATCTTTAACCTGTGATGGAATCGCAAAGCCTTTCCAAGGAAATATTGGGAGCGTGACAACATCTAAGAAGAATTTTAAAAGGTTGATCATGTGTAACTTGTTTTAGTATGATCTATCTATCTATCTATCTATCTATTCAACACCATTGAAAATCAGGTTTATTGTCAAAATCTAAAGACTTTCAGCTGTTTGCAATGAACAAATCAAAGAAAAGAAATTGAAATATCTAAACACTACGAATGCTTCAACTGGTTTCCCCAAACTAAACTGAAAATGCAACTTATAATGACTTCTCCAATTTCAATATTATTCATCCCATGGAATAGTATATCTATCTATCTAACAGTCTATCTGTCTCTCTCAGTAGCTGTAAAATGCACAGAGCTAAGCTTGCAGCAGACATAGAATGCAGATGATACCCAAGCAGACACAGAATTCAGTACTGCTAGCAGAAAGGCCTTTGCAGCCAAAGCCAGGAAAACAAGTGATTAATAACAATTTTTAAATATAATCTTATCTACAAGTTTATCTCCATGTTTTTATAGCATGTGCTTTGATTTAACATTGTTTGATACGTTGCTAAAATTATTTAATATTTTTAAATGAACTTTTAAAATATTTTTTTAAATATTAAAATATCAAAAATATATAGTATATAAAAATATAAAATATTACAAAATTAAAATATTTTTTAACAATATTAACTTATTTTAAAAGTTTATCCAAAAATATTCAATAATTTGAAAAGCTTACACAACAACATTAAATCGAGGCCACGGTCTCTATAAGGATGTATGGAGTAGTTTATATAAAGGATTAGAGGGGGATACTGAATCTGTATCAGTTTTTAAATGTTTGATGGAGCAATCTAAATAATTGTACAGGGGGCGTGGTTACGGCAGGCAGGAGATCAGTCACATGGCGAGTAAGCTCCGATGCAATGGAGACTACAGACTGAGAAATACCACTCCACCAATACCCACAGACATCCAGACTTTCCCCCACGCCTTTCTGCCAGTATGGGGAAGAAAAATAAAACGCTTAAAGGCCTTACAGGGGAGGGATCCCTTAATATCGGCGACCTGTTGTTACAGAGGCCTTGCCCCAATATGGCGGCGCAGCCAGACCACGGCTCCTCTACCTCCTCAGAGGCCGATCCCCTTGATGTGCCAGATGCTATACCGGACACTGGTTGCCTGAATACACATCTGCCCACAGCTGAACTCAATACGCGAGCTACCAATGGGGATATTTTGGAGCTGATGAGGAATATGAGAAGGTTATTTAACGCAGATTTAGCAGTTGTTAGAGAGGAAATCATGGCAATAACAGCTCGAGTACAGGCCACGGAGGGTGAAATCTCAGCCATAGCCCATAGACAGACGGGCACCGCCGAACAACAAGCTCAACTCCACACCTCACAGCAGACACTGTCTCATCAACTGGACGCCCTGGATGACTATGGGCGACGCAAAAATGTCAAACTCAGGGGCATAGCTGAAGCAATAGGGGACAGTGAACTACTGCACATTGTCCAGCAAATGCTAGCCAGCAACTTACCCCAGTGACAAGCCAAAACTACACACATTGACGACTGTTATCGCCTACCTAAATCGCCTAAAGCACCAGATGGGGTACCAAGAGACGTATTGATTCACTTTCAATTGAGGAAAGACAAGAAGATGGTGATGGAACGGTTGCAGATGCAGAAACCTCTACAATTTGAGTCATTCAGCCTCACATTTCTACAAGATCTCTGCAGATCAATCCTGAACTGGCGCAGGTCATTGTACCTGATAACGCAGTGGCACCGAGAGGCGAAAGTTCCATACCAATAGGGACCAGCTCACTCTCTATCGGCCACTAAAGAGGGCGCCACCTTCAAACTCACCTCCATATCCAGAGCGACTCCCTTCTTGCAGTACTTGGGCTTACAGCCACTACCTGCCACAATGGCGGAGCACCCATGGAATTGGGACGTTTCCACAATAGTCCCCTTTGTCCCTTGTACACTCACAGATGCAGGATGAACATTACAGTAATGGGGACCAGGACTGTCTGCAATCCAGTTTGTTTATTTTATGTATTTTAAGTGTTTTGTTTATTTTATGCTGTTAGTTGAGTTAAGATCTACTCTTTAGTCTCCTTCTGGGGTCCCTAAGGCTGGACTTAAACGCTGCCTAGCCACGTGTTTTTCTCAATTTTACTGAATCTTTAGGCTACAGATCAATCTATGTTTACCTCAAATTACTACTAAGTAGCCTTTACCTTCTAGCCCCCCCCCCCCTCAGCCCCCCCGGGCTCAGGGTTACAGAGTGATGCATGCTACATATTTTTGCATAGACGTACTTATTGTATTATTTAACTACAGGGCAAGAGTCATTAGTGAGTCAAACGTTCTTACCTGCCAATGCCCTACATATACTTTCGAATGCTACCGCAGTTTTATTACCTTTCCCACTATATTTTAAATAATATAAAATGGGCACTGTACGCTACAGGCAATTTCAATGTAAGCTTTATTGTACAACCATACATGCTTATTGTTTTCTTGATTCTGTACATCATTCTGTTGCCCACAAAAATAAAGAATTATAAAAAAAAATTCTAAATAATTTGATAATGTGAATAGAATTTTGGGTCAAAACATTAGAATATGGATGAACAGGTTATAGACCATATTATTTTCTCTTGTTTATTGTCTTGAACATACATTTAATGGGCAGTAATAGAACAATTTTATTTTTTTCAGATAAAGCATAAATAGATTGTTACTAAGAGCACGTTAGGATTTTTAAGCTTTGAATTGATAGAAAGTACATGAACAAGGAATGTTGCCAAGGGCCAACGCTATATAAACATATCAATAAATTAAACCATTTGAACAATTATGCATGTCCTTCAGCTTTGGGAAAAACACAGCAAAAAATGCCAAAGGCAAAGGGCAATGTTGAGAGGTGGCAGTTACACTTTTAGAAAAGAGATTTTAGCAGCTTGAGATTTTTCTTAACTGGAAATAATTGCCACCAACCGGCGGTGATATGAGCACATCACACACCTGGCCATTCTACGGAGCCTGCACTCCCTGGGATATCAGAAATGTTGAACAAAGATCAGCAGACAAGACCATCTGGTTGTTTTTATGATAACACGTAAGAGATGCAAAGGGGCCTATTATACTTGTAAGTGCATTAGTCACACCTGTGCGTCAAATGAAGCGCACTTTAAAATAATCAAGCAGCTTTGCCTAAATTAGTATGCAGAACTTCTGTTTTGTATATTTAGAATATGTGGTTGGATTAAATGATAAGGTGGGGAAGAAGTAGAAGAAAGAAAACTAGAACACGCTAGTAACTTTCTCCGATAATATTTATCATAGCAAAAATAACAATTTGTCCATTACTTTCCCCCTATTCAGATCCAAAATACTTTAGTGCCTGCTGAGGGTTTTACACGAATTGACACTTGATAAACTGATGTTACTATTAAATGTAATTACTCATTTCCCTGACCTCAGAACGATAAAAGACTTAGTTAACTGTGCCGGGAATAAGAGCTGTGGCACTGAAGTTTGAAGAACAATTGCTGTCAAGGCATGTGGTTATAAGATCTGAGCACAGGCAAACAAGGCATATTACATTAGGGGGTGCAAACAGGATTTTATTTGCAAACATTTAATTATAAAAAAAATAAATAATATTTTTTTATTCAGAAAGGGGAGATTTAACAGAATATAATAATATTCTTTTTTGGAAGATTACATGAAAATTAAAACGTTAAACTATTAAACATACAAAACATGACATTTTTGATCTAAGCAAATACAGCCTTTTCCCCCCAAGATTTCTTTTTCTTTTTTTCTGATTAACTATAGCTATCTGATGAAAGGTATAAAAGTATATCAGGGTCAGACTCAGGGAGCATCCTAAATCAAACTAGACATGGGCAAACAGGAAATGGGTAACAATGTTTTGGTTGGCTTTATGCCAGATTATTTGCCAAATTATACACACACTAATGGCCCAAAATATAATTAAATGCATTATTGCTTACAGTTATAGCTGGCTTATCAAGGAATATACTTGATATTTGATAAGCTTTTATTTTTACTCGCTGCATGCAAACTTCACATAGTGTTAGCGACCACAAGAAAACAACTGATACATATGTACCTTTATTTATGATTTACTACATGTGTGTACAGGCATGTATTAACATTATTTGCCTTAGGAGGACATTCACTCTGTAACTTTTCTAACCCTTTTACCTAAAAATCACTCATCAACACATGAGTGTCTGACGTTGTAAATGGACTCTGGAACTGATGCATTGCTTAGGGCAGGTTAGTCATTTTGTTTGTCACTAATTAGGCTTCATTTTGTTACATTGCTCTTCCACTAATCCACCTGTGCAGTCTGTAGTACACAATAAAGATACATATGCTCAGAACCCATTGTAATGATGTAATTAACAAACCTCCACTTACTTTAATGACAGAATTTGTATGTTTGTGTTTGGTCAGCAATGCTTGATGAGTCAATTAGCTTAATCACAGCAGTGGGTGTTGTGACTAGTAAGGTTTTAAAAGATGCCTAGGGGCTTTTTTGTTTTCACTGCATTTTAGTTAAAAGTGCTGAAAACAATGTTATAAATGGATGGCACAAACATTAGCCCTAGTGGAAAAAACAAAATACTGCAAGTTAAACTAGATAAAATGTAACTTAAATATAAAGATATATTTATACAGACATTTTAATGCAGAGTACAATACATATTGATAATTTATGATATTGGGCTTACATATAAGTAGGAATGGGATGGATATATATACAATGTAGAAAAAGTTAAATACAAAAAACAAAGCATGGTATATACATTGATCAGCCACAACATTAAAACCACCTGTTTAATATGGTGTAGTTCCCCCTTGTGCTGCCAAAACAGCTGTGATGTGTAGAGGCATGGACTCCAGAAGACCTCTGAACATGTCTTGTGGTATCTGGCTTCAAGACATTAGCAGCAGATCCTTTAAGTTGCGAGGTGGGGCCTCCATGGATCAAATGTGGTGTTCCAGCACATCCCACAGATCGGATTGAGATCTGGGAAATTTGGAGGCCAAAACCAGTGGCATAGTGGGGGGGTTGGAGTGGTGAGGTCTGCCCCGGGGGGCACTCACTAGGGGGGTGCCATGACCAGGGTGGCCTTAGGATGTGTAAGCTGTGGGGCCGCACAGCGCACCATGGCAGCCACAAAGCTCACACATGCAGGCAGCCGCAGAACTTGAAAACCGTCCGCGTCTAATAAAAATGGGGTGGAGCCAGACCAGCAGTGGAGCTTAACACGGCTTCTACCCGCTGCTGTTACTGCTGCACATCAAGGGGAAGCAGGATCCCTGCTTCCCCAACAACTACACAGCATGGACTAAATTCACATCTCTTCCAGTCCAAGCTGACTTTAAGTAAGAGAGAGAGAGAGAGAGAGTGCGTGTGTGTGTGTGTGTGACTGTCTGCCTTGACTGTGTGTGTGAGACTGTCTGCCAGTGACTGTGTGTGTGACTGCCTGCCTGTACCTATGTGTGTGTGACTGTCTTCCTGTGACTGTGTGTGTGTGACTGTCTGCCTGTGACTGTGTGTGTGTGACTGTCTGTGACTGTGTGTATGTGTGACTGCCTGTAACTGTGTGTGTGTGATTGTCTGCCGGTGACTGTGTGTGTGTGTGTGTGACTGTCTGCTGCTGACTCTGTGTGTGGGTGCCTGACTGTGACTGTCTGTGTGTGACAGTGTGCCTGTGAGTGTGTGTGACTTTCTGCATGCGACTATGTGTATGTGACTGTCTGCCTGTGATTGGGGGATGCTGCCTGTAACCGTGTGTGTGTGTGATTATCTGCCTGTGACTGTGTGTGTGTGACTATCTGCCTATAATTGTATATGTGACTGTGTGCAAGTGACTATGTGCCTGGGACTGTTGCTAATATGGTTGTGTAAAAGTATTGTAAGGGGCTGAGCAGGGGTTTTAGAGGGAGAGGCAGGTTTTCTGGGAAGGGGGTGTGCAGGAGTTTTATCGAAGGGGGTGCAGGGGTTTGAGGAAGGGGGGCAAGGATTTTGTTTAAAGGGTATTTGTGGAAGGGAGGTGAAGTGGTTTTGTAGAACGGGGGCAGGACATGCATTTTGTAGAACAGCGGGCAGGAGAGGGGTTTTGTAGAAGGGGGCAGGACAGGGTTTTTCCAAAATGTACACATTTGTGCAATTTTTTTAAAATGAAAACATTAAACATGGGGGGTGCAGTGCTCCCCTGGCCAAACAGCTCTTTGTTATATTCCACAAACCATTCTTGAATATTTTTTTTGCTGTGCGGTGCATTCTCCTGTTGAAAGAGGCCAATGCCATCGGGGAACACAATGTGCCTTGAAGGGATATACGTGGTCTGCAACAATCTCTAGGTGTCTAAGCAACATTCACTTGAATGCCAGAACCTACTGTTTCCCAGCAGAACATTGTCCAGAGCATAATACTGATTTTGCCGGCCTGCTGCCATCTCTTCACCAGGTAAATGACGCACATGCACCTGG